CATCCCTCCAGGTTCATCTCTGCCATTTCTCCCCTTGCACTGTGTCCTAGCTATACTCAAGGAATTACTGTTTCTCTAATAGTCTCCCTTATGTCTGGGCCTTTGCAAAGGCTGTGCCCTCTGCCAGAAACACTCTTTCCTTCCCATCCTCACCTAGGGCTTCCCTCTACTCCTTTAACCTGGATAAGACCTACTGAACTTTTCAGATCTCACCTTTGAAGTTGCCTCCTCACTTGCTGCGTTCCCGTCAGCATTTATTATACTCTAAATGTCCAGCCACTAGTCCACAAGACATGAACTCAGTGTGGCTGGGACCAAATTCACCTTGCTCATGGCCTAGCACAGTATCTTCACATAGCAGGTACTACCCTACACACACTCATTTAACAAATATTAACTGAGCACCTACTATGGGACTGGCAACAGTGAGGTAATTTGGAACTTGGTATATATACGACGGTGACCAAAACAGACACATGTTCCTGCCCTCATGAAATTTGCATTCTAGCAAGGTGAAAGTGGTGGTAATAAATAATAACTACATCTTATACTATATGTCAAGGTGATAAGTGCTATGGAAGGAAGAAAAAAGTGGAAAGCAAGACAAATTGGTGTGGGAGTGCTGGAGGTGATGTAGGGTGGGTAGTCAGTGTGGGGTTCATCAAGAGCATGGTACTTGAGCAGACTTGGAGGAGGTGAGTAAGTGAATCACTGGATAAATGGAAAAGAGTGCTCCAGGCTAAGGGAACTGTCAGTGACAATGGTGGTAAAGTAGGAGGATGCTTGACCTGTGCAAGGAAGAGCAAGGAGTCCAGAGTGGCCAGAGCTGAGTAAGCGAGAGCCTGAATAGTGGGGAATGAAGTCAGAGAGGTAATGGGGGCCAGAAGAGCATGTAGGGGACTTGTGGGCCATTGGAATGACTTTGGTTTTTACTCAGTAAAATGGGGAAGCTCTTCAGGGATTTGCATAGAGGTCTGATATGATCTAAATTGTTTTAAAAGGACCATTCTGGCTGCTGGGTTGAGAAAAGACATCAGTGCACATCCTCAGCTCTGTACGGCACCAACCAACTCTTTGTCAATGTAGGCCATGGTCCACTCTGCTAAGAAGGCTGCTCTCCATTCAATGACTTTGCTTGTCTTCACATATCTCATAGAAACACTAGGCTCCTTAGATCCATGGGGTACACGTTGTATTGAACGTCCATTCCTGAGAAAACATGTTCTCACTTAGGTAGGGTCGCCAGATTTAGCAAATAAATATGGCAACCCTACACTTAGTGTCAGCAATTGGGTACGCCATCTTTTGTTGCATGCTACTGCGATTAACCTCTTCTCATTCTCTACCAGTCCTAGCTCTAACTAGCCTTCAAATTCCTGCTCAATAATCACCTCACTCAGGAAGCCATGTGGAGAGTCCTTAGACATGAGCTAATACAAATATCAAGAGATTAAAAACCCAAGGTGAGTCTGGCCTGCCTAAGGTCACCAAGCTAATAAGTCACAGAGCTGGGACTCACCCCAACTCCCCAGACATCTTCCAGAATCAGTCTCTTGGCAGCTGCCTAAAACATGACCATAACTAGCGTTCCAGGCCACCACACCTTAGAAAGCCTTGGTATGTTGAATATGTTAAAGTTGTTCCCCCTTCCTCCCTCACATCCTTAACACATGCTTGCTTAGAATGATTCCGATTATAAAGCGATTTTTTTTTTTCGGTTATGAAGAGAAACTCTTAGAGAAACTGTTCTGGAAATCTGCTCTGTATTCGAGGCTCTCAAGGCTCCAACAGGAAAATAATAAACTGACATTCTGAGAAGCTGAGTCCTGCCCCTTTCTGTCTGCCTCACCCTGCAGACAGGTGTCTGCTGGGAAACTGGACCCCCTGTCAGATGGAGTTTCCTGCACTGTCTTCCTCTTGTCTGCCAGCTGGGCACAGGTCACCTCATGAAGCAGATGTGGGGAACAGCTGGTGTCTGTACAGACAAACAAGGAGAGGGAGGATGGAGGGAGCAGACAGACCTTACTCTTGGCCAAGGGATTTGGAGGCCTCAGCCCTGGGAACCGGTAAGAGGTTTAGGTGGAGAGCTGGCAAGAAGGAAGTCTGGGAGAAGGTGCTGAGAACTTGCTCCTGGGCCTGAAGTTCATACCCAGGACCCCATTCCAGGAGGTCTACAAAGCAAGGAGCCCATCTACCAGGGGAAGGGCAAGATACCTGGACCATATACAAGCCCACCGTAACAAGGTGTTCAGAGCAGTAGTTAGAGGTAGGTGCTCTGTGGTTTAGACTCACTAGGTTTGTATCTCAGCTCCACCACTTATTGTGTGACTTTACCCTTTTGAGCCTCAGTCTCATCACCTATAAAATGAAGATAAAAGAAAACAGCTACAACAGAGCTATTGTACTGATTAAATGAAATGACACATGTAAAAGCAGTTAACACGATGCTTGGCAAACAGTAAGCTCTCAATAAATATTAGCCACTATGATTGTTTGGAGTCAGGAAATCCTAAATCCCACACCGCTGGCTCATCTTGCACAAATGATTCCACCTCTCCTAGCCTTAATTTGCTACTTTGTTGGGTGGCTCTGGGGTCTAAATGATACTGATAATATGCCCAGAGATCCCAGCCCACAGCCCAGCACATAGTAACTACTTAAATAACAGAACATAGGAAGATGTTTAAAGCAAATATGCAGTATGGGTGAGTTTCTGAGTGCCAGCCTGGGATCCGCTGCTTAGGCGCAGAGATTTTTCCATGATATGGGATTGAGGTCAAGGGTATAAGTGGGCCCTAAACAGGTCCATCAGATAAGGGCAGGAGCATGAGAGGAAGGAAGCCAGCCTCCAGCCACTTTCTTACCCTGAGAGGCTTCCTACTACTGAAACTGGAGACAGAAACCAAGCCTTTCTTCTGTCCTGTATATGCCCAGGGGAAACTCTTGTCTGGGCCAACTGGGATGTCAAGGATGACTGGCAAGGCTGGGAACCTCATCAACTGTCTTTGCTGCATTAAAAAGCTGCTTTCACCTTTGCCAAGGCAGTCTGGGTTCACAGTGAAATGTTTCCAACCAGAACTGGGAGGGTCATGCCCAGGTGTGCTGAGGACAAGGTCCTATCTCCCAAATGCTTTTCTCTTCTGAGACTCAGCCCCATGCAGGAGAAACAGCGAGGCTCTCGAGCCAGACAGAACTGGGTTCAAATCTGGATTTTGCCACATTAGCTGAGTGAACTCAGGTGAGTCCTGTAAGTACTCTGAGCCCAAGACTGACCAACCTCAGAGAACAATAGTTTCATTATTTGTCAATCAAAAGATGCAGCAACAGTCCTCTTCTTTGAGTGTAATCCTTGAGTCTTGCCCTATTCATCCCATATTATCGGCTCAGAGTATTTTTTTATGTTATTTGTTTATTTTTTCATTGTTGCCTATATTTTACAACAGTAAGAATAGTTTAGGTGTATATATATATATATCTCATTATATCTGCCAATTCAACATTTTTCATGTGTATAATCAGTGACACCAATTACATCAATCACGTTGTCCAACCATCACCAGTATTTGTTGCCAAATTTTCCATCACCATAAACAAACTCAATACTTCCTAAACAATGACTTGGCCTCCCCGTACCCCTGCCTCTGGTAAGCACTATTCAACTTTGATTTCTATGCACTGCTTATTCTAAGTATTTCATATAAGTGAGATCGGAGTATCTTTCTTGAAGGAACCAACTCTCTTTAGGATGCTGCAGTATAAAGGGACTTGGATTGGAAGCCAGGAATCTTGCTCTGCTTCTCTCCATCACTCACTGTGCCACCTTGGACACATCATTCCTCCTTTCTAGGCCTTGGTCGGTTCCCCCATTAATAAAATGAAAAGTTTGGACCAGATCATCACAGACGGCTCTTCTGCTATGACTGACTATGATTCTTTGTCCATTCCTGTCTCTGGAACTTAGTTCCCTCTTCTTTAAAAGGAGAGATTAGATCAAATGATGTTTGAGATCAAATGAGCTTTCAGCTCAGACTGTTGATGAGTATAAAAATATAGAAATAGTTTCCTGTCAACTCACTGATCACAGGAACCATTCTCTACTTGGATTGCCCAGGTCTACCACTTCTTTCCCATCTCTCAGCAAGAATTCCAAACTCAGGTCCCAACGCCCATCAAGAAAGTGGAAGTGGCCACTCTTCCCTGTGTGGTTGATGTCCATCTCGAAGATGTCATCCACTTTTACTATAAACACGTAAATCACTCCTATGTGTACCCTAATACACAAAGGATGAAAATCACAACTAAGACACCCCCCCCCCAATTTTACAGCTGTGAAAAAAAAGGACATTAGAAAAAGCTCTAAGGTCATGAATGACTTTGTTCACAACCAAGACCTTCCCCCCTAATTCCACAGGTGTGAAAAAAAGGACATGAAAATGCTTGAAGGTCATGAGTAACCTTGTTGGGAATGCCCCCTCTTCTCTCTTCCCCTAGACTTAAGCCCTACTCTAAAATCTGTGTTGTCTCTAGGATTTTACATGTCATTCCCCTGCCCAAAACACTCTTTGCCTGCTCACCTTCTTGCCCCTTCACCTCCTTCCTCAAGTGTCAGTGTTGATGTTACTCCCTTGGCAGAATCTTCTCCAAACCTTCAGATATGACAAGGCCCCTCCCCAGGAACTCCACAGCACTAAGTCCTTCCCTTCTAAAAGTACTCATATTGTTCTTGTAATTGTCTGCTTTTATAGCTGACTCTAAGCTTTGCAGGCAGGGACCACATCAACATATATCACCCATGAGTCTCTCACACCTCATTCAGGGCCTAGCACATATTAGCTCAACTACTGTCTAAAAAGAATAAAGAATAAAATAAAATAAAGCTTGAAGGTAGTGTACTGACACAACCCGAACAACAAGGACTCTTCTAGCATATACGGGTCATCCTGGACAAGTGAGCTGGGGAAGCATGGGGGACGCAGTGAGCAAGGAGGGCACTGGCTTACCTTTTTGGTCTTCACTGTGGAGGCACAGCAATCCCCACCATCATAGTTGCAGAAGGCCCGGTTGTTGATGGCATCACAGTAATTGTCTCCTATGAAGGGCTATAAAGGGAGAGCAAGGCAGGAAGGAAATGAGGTCTTACTAGCATTCTGGAATGAGGGGAGCTGGCCGCAGCACTTCATCTAGGCCTCTGTAGGCTTTCAAATGTCTCTCATCTTCTCACAAACCCCAACAGTTAGACCACCTGGCTTCAAATCCCAACACCCTCTTGGAAAAGTTATCACTTAACTGCTAATACTTACAAAGATCTTACCTAGCCAAATTATTCCCAACCAGAGTATGATTGTTTGAGGAGATACTGAGGTATGCAAAGCCATAGACAGACCAGTTACATCTTCCTGAAGTAAAGTGTTCATTTTACTTGAAGAAATAATAAGAAAATTCTCAAGCTCCCCTTTCCCCATTTTTCCTGGTAAGTAATTAAAAGCATAATTTATAATAAAATATATGTAAATATAGTAGAAAGCTGAATGTAAACTTCCCAAGAATAATAAAGATAAAAACGTAAGAAGTCCTAGGAATTTGGCACCATGGTTTGTATGGGCCCCTTTTCCTCTGAGAGAAATACAGACGTACTCAGTGTCACATGCTTTACCTTTTTGTTTGTTTGTTTTTTTAATTCTCTGAACAACATGTGAGGCAAACATTGTTATTCCCACTTTACAGATGAAGACCTTGAGGCTCAGAGAAAGAAAGGGACTTAGCCAAGATCACACTGGCTGAGGAAGTGTAGTGATTAAAATCTACATTGACTCCATGTTGTTTTCTTCACTACTCTAGGCTGTATCTAGCACACACTGATTTATTTTCCTTCCCCGTGTTCCTTTCAAAAGATGCTAAAAAGATAAGGAGAAGAAGTCAAGCCATTACTGATCTGAACCCAGAGCCATATTAGAGGAAAGTTCAGGAGTCTCTGTGACTCCCTTAGTACTTGTATTTCCCCATTTTAGCACTTAGCACACTATATTCTGTGATCTTATGTATCTGTAGCTAAGTCAAAGACATGGGCAATGTCTGTTTCATCTGCGTCTCCACAGCACCAATTTTGGCCTGGAGTGATGTTTTTCAAATGGAATATGATTGTAAAAGCATAGTGGAAAGGGAAGTTAGCAGGGGTATAGAAAACATGGATTCTGATCTTCTAAACCTCAGCTAACTGGTTGGTTACTTGGTGATTTTGGTTAAGTGGCTTATTTTATCTTCTCTGAGCCTCAGGATTCCTACTAGTGAAATAAATTGATAAGATCAGTCCACTGATTTCTTAAAGCAGTGGACCCACTACCCTATCAAATGCAATATTGTGGGACACTTTAATATATAAAGAAGATGAAAGTGAAACCACTCTAAGTGAAGTGTGTCTTTAGGTCTCTAACGTACAGTGGCTCATTGATGGGAAAGAAGATGTCATCAGTTGGCTAAAACTATCACATCCCAGCACAACATCTGTGATCCAATGGCCTTTCCTTCCCATTCTGATGGCTGTGGGGACAACCAAGTTTACATGGAGTCCATCCCACTTGGCATCTGGCTTTTGCATCTGTGCTCCAAATTCTCACCCATAGAACCTTCATTTTCCCAACTCATGATGCCAGATTCCATTTCATCACTACCGTATTACGCTTTAAAGAATGATCTTTGCAAGACAGAGCTAAAAACAGACAAGAACTATGTTCAGGTGTATATGTTCACATGCACATGGCTGGGTGGGTGCCATTTTGAACACATAATTCCATTCATATTAGAGTGGAGGGGCACATAGAAAAACCAAACAAATGATAGGCTCTTTGCTTTTCTCTGTCTCAGGAGGTCTGCCTGTGGACTATGCTCTGTATGTTCTTCCTCATAGCATATATGACTGGACTAATGCAGGAGATCAATTTCTATTCTTTAGAATGAAAGGAACTGACTTGGTAAAGGAGTATCTGGGGTAGAAGAGAAGGAAGAGGAGAAAAAATAAATGAGGGTGGTTCTTTTTTGGTTTGACCCCTGAAAAAAATCTCCTCTCATCTTTGGCTACTCTCCCATAGATACCCTCTCCATCCATTGGTAGCCATGCCAACCCACCCACCTATCCATCCACCCATCCACCCATCCATCCATCCATCCATCCTCTACTCGACCCTAGTTATTGAATGCCTACTATGTGTTAGACATTGTTTTAAGCAAAATGATACAATAGTAAGTTAATATATAGCCATTACTCTCCTAGACCTTACATTCTAGTGAGGAGACAGGGTTTAATCTAATAATCACACATGAAATTGGCCAATTTCAACTCTGATAACAGTTATGAAGGAGAGGTACATGATGCTATTAGAATATAAAGTAGGAGGATTTGACTTAGTCAGGGAGCTCAGTGAAGGTGCCCCTAAGGAAATGACATTTGAGCTGAGATCATAAGGATGAGTTAATTAGGTGGGGGTGGAGGAGGGACAATTTCTAGGCAGAGGAAACAGCATGTGAAAAGCTTTGCTACTTAGAGATTTCTCGCATCTCTGGTATTTTTCATGCCTCTCCTTCTGCCAGTAATGTATCCAGACAAACAGCTCATCCTTCAAGATCTAGCTCAAAAACCAACCTCTCCAAAAAAACCTTTTAATTTCTTTACTTGTAACCTAGGCTGCTTTGTGCTTCTACAGCCTCTTCTACTTGCTTTGGTTATAGCTCTTGGTACATCATTTTAGAACTTTCTCTTTGTCTACCTCCTTTACCGTGAGTTCCTCATGGACAGGGAATGTGTGTCATCCATTTTTGTATCCTAGATTTCCTAGAAAAATGCCAGGTAATTTGATTCAACAAACATTTATCTAGTATATGTTTTGTAAATGTTTGTTCAGTAAAATGTTGGCTAGATAGCTGGACGGATGAACGAGGAACAAGATGACTCAGGGAAGACTTAGTTACTATTTTCACTTGGACCAAAATCATTGTATCCCGAGAACCTAGAATAGTCTTGGCACATAATATACGCTCAGTGAAGCTTTGATAACAAGTGAGTGGATGACCACTTTGGGCACACAACTTGGGGCAAAGGGCAGAGGGCAGAGGGCTACCACTAGATACTCCATGTTGATGGCTTCTCTCTGGTCCCAGCATTTGTATCTCTTCTAACCATACTTTTCAGCCCCAGACAAGAGGCAAACTATTAGTTCTAAGGTAAGGAGAAAAGAAAGAGATGAGGGGCGCCTGCAAGGGCAAAGGCGATAAGCATCATTGGCAGGGCTCAGAGCCTGACAGGGGAGGGTCTCTTAGGCCTCATGCTGAGTCAAGAGAGGATCAAATTCTGCTGTCACACTGGTTGTCCAGACTGCTGACTCAGCAGAATGGGTTCCCAGGTAACCCAAGTCTCCTTTACCCGAAATGCTGAACTGATCCAATGAGATGGAAGGAAGCAATAGCTACAGCATGTTGCCTTGGTTTTGCTGTTCCTGGCTGAAGTTTGGGAGAATGAGGGTTCTCAAAGACTACAGTGTTTAGAATATGTCAAAGGGAGTCATTAACCAACACACAGGGAGGAATGTGTGACCTAGAGATATCTTGTGACACTTACAGGTCAGAGAATGGCTCATGAACAGCAGGTGGCCTAGTGGAGGAGAAAAATCAGTGGCCCGGGAGTCAGGAGACTTGGGTTCATGCTTCAGCTCTGTGCAACTCTGGGCCAGTTCTCCCCAGTTTGGCTCTCATTTTCCAGTATATACAACAAACAGGTAGGACCACATTACTCTAAGAACCCTTCCAGTCTTGGTATTCCAACAAATTTTAGACCTGGCCACTTTCTGGGCCTCTGTTTGCCCATCTTTAAAATAAAAGAGCAGGTCCAGATCATCTAGAAAAACCCTTCTGGTTTTGACATTCTAAGAGTTTCATCAAACACAAAGTTTTCTGGGGCCCAATTTAGTCCTTTCCACCTGAGTGGGCTCTCGGGGGACTACAGCGATTTGGACAACCCCAGAATTCTACCTGGTGAGATTTGGGGCCTCCTTTTCACTGCCAGTTGAGAAGAACTGACAGGGGCATAGGCATGCACAGAAGTGCTTCGAGGTTCACGGACAGCTCTCCCTGGAGAACCCAGCTGACATCCCCAAAACTCTCGGCACCTCTGCTTGTCACTGATACTCAGTGCCAGAGCTCTGAAATTCCAAACTCCAAGGAATTGCTCAAATGTGAAGTCAGAAGACTTGAGAGTCAGAAAGGGTCTTCTATTTTTAGGTCAGTGGTTGGGCCTAAGGTGTCCATACTACTTCTGGAGTTGAGAGTGAAGGACAAAGATATGGGGCAGAAGCAGGTGATGTGCAAGTAAGTAACCATCATCGGTAAAATGGGAACTTAAAAAATCTGCCTGACGTAGCTCTGTAAAGATTAATTGTGATACTATTGGTAAAATGCCTGGTATATTATAGTTACTAAATCAATATTTCTTCTCTCCTCCCCTCCTTTATAGATCCATTATTAGGTAGACACAAGCTTTGGAGCCAGAAAAGCCTGGTTTGGAATCCCAACTCAGTTACCCAGTAACTATATTTTTGGATATATGTTTCTTATTATCTCTGTGCCTCAATTCCATCATCTGTAAAATGGGATTGCTGATTCCTATCTGAGATGTATGTTAAGTGGATATTTAAAAAATTAATAGGTACAGCTCATGGTAGCCATCATTAATATAACAATAACAACAGTAGAATCATTTCTAGAGAGCTGATAGGTGTCTTCCCCTCAGACTCACCTCACAGCCTTTGACACAGTGAATCACAGCAGGGTGAGGATACCACTTGAGACCAGCAGTACAGACAACTCTCTGCAGAGAGAAGGAGAGAGAGAGGTCAGACAGGTTTGGGGCTGCAAGAAACCACCCCAGTGTTTGCAACACATCAACCACCCCACCTCTTCTTGGAGCTTCCAAGTCCCGACCTCACCCTGGCGTTTACATGGAGCATTTGTCTGGATACTTGCAATAACAGCAGCCATAAGATTAAAATAATATTTGCATTCACTGCATGGGTAATGATTCTATGTTTCCCTGGCAGGAACCAGGGCTGAGAAGCGGGGATTGGGGGTTGGAGACATGATCAGAAAGGCCCTTCAGAGAATTCTTGGCTGATGTTTAACCAGTTGGTAGAGTTGGGGATAAGGTAGAGGGTAGGGTGTGTGTGTATGCATGTGTGTGTGCATGTATGTGTGCGGCTGCAGCAGGAAGAGGGAAGAAAGGTGTGGAGCAGAGTTTCTCAGTGTGCACTGAGGACCACTTTTATCAGAATTACTGCAGGAGGGCATTAAAAAGGCAGATTATTTGGCCTTGTTTCAGGCCTGGGACTCTGCATTTTAAAAACTAATTTTTAGATGATTCGATGCACACTACAGTTTGAGAGCAAGTGGGCTGAGGATGAATGTACTAACTGCTGGTTCACAGCCCAAGGAGACAGAGAACTCTTCATGCCGTCAGCTGCTGTCAGGCCCTACGGGCCCACTCACACCTCCCCGAGGTTGCCACATGCTTTTATATCTCAGTGTCTTTTTTCTTGCTGTTCCCCTACACTGAAATGTCCTTCCCCACCTTCTCACCTGGAGAAACCTTGGTTATCTTTTAAATTTCTGCTTTAGACATATTTCCAGGTGGCGTTTTTCCCAACCTCCTCAAAGAAAGCTACAGTTATGTATCTATGTATTCATTTATAACTTCCTTTAATAACAATTATAATGATAATCACATCTAAAATGTATTGAGTACATTCATGGTGTTAATTACTTTATGCGTTATCTCATCTATTTCTCACTGCCATGCTGTGTGGTGGGCATTAGTCTTTTGTCATAAGGAGAATACATTCTCCAAGTTCCACAGATGTTAGGTGAAGAAATTAGGACTTGAAACCAACCCATTGTCCCATAAGTGATTTAAGTCTGCTCGTGATATAAAATCCAACACGATGGTATTTTTAAAAGTAGGTAACTGAAGAAAGAAATAAAAGTAGGAATATAAAATAGTCTTAGGAATGAGGGTAACATAAAAATTCTAGAAGTTTCCTTTCCTATTCTGTCATTGATGCCTCACTTTTTAGGGAAAATTACAATGATTTCTTCAAAAAATAAAATAAAATAACCTGGATGTAAATGCCTTGACTTGCAGTGAGAGATAACAGTGCCAAGTACCAGCTGTGGAAATCTATACAATCAGGGCTTGCTCTCCCGGCTGTCTGCCAGTTGATTAATTTTAATTAAGATATGAACAGTCACATGGCCCAGAATGTGTGACCAGCCCATTCTCTCCCGAGAGCAAACCTATATGGGAGCCAAACTGTAATTACTAGGTTTCTTGGTAGGCTTGGAATGAAGGGAATCTCATGACTCTAGGGATCCGGCTAAGACTGGGTTGGGTGCCTGTCTTCTCTGCCCCACAGCATCTCTGGTTCACTTTTGGCTTTCCCATACCTAGAACAGTGCCTGGCACATAGAGGATGCTCAATAAATATTTATTTTATGAATGAGTGGATCCAAACAGAAATGACTTCACCAATACATAATAATTTCCAGATTATTGGATTACTACTTTTTGTTCCATGTTTGCACCTACAGTGCCTAGTTTAGAGGACCAGCTTAGTACAAACTGAATTTAATTAAAGATCTTGGAATAGTTTATGTAACTTGAAGATCTGCCTATCAGTCTCTCAGTGTGAAATCTATCTAGCCACCCTTACTGTCTCTGTTGACACTTTCTACCCTCTCCCAACACACACATAAGGTGTACTGAGAATGAACATGGGCTTTGAGGTAGGACAGATGTGGCTCCAGTTCTGACTTGAAATTGCTTTATAAATTTCCACTCTGAGGCTTGGTTCTCCCATCCGTGAAATGGGTACCAAAAATCTATTTCCTAGGCTTTCAGTGATGATGCAATGAGATAAATAATGTGGAAATGGTTAACCTAGGACCAACTCTTTAAGTTTTTTGAGGGCAGGCCCTGGGTCTTAGACACTCTGTCTTCCCCCAGGATCACACAGAGCCCAGTCAACAAATATATGTTGACCAACTGAAGGAATATCAGTGGTTCTGGTCTCCCTTCCTTCCAGCTCAAGCTCCTTTCTTCCCTTCTGCTTCCCAGTCTGGGGGCCAGAAATGGGGAGAATCACCTGCTTTCATCCTCTGAAAACCTTAACCCATACTTGAATCTTTGGGTCTAAGAGTCTGTTCCAGGCCAGTGCAGGGAAGTTGGAGGGGCATTTGGTAATGGTTCAAGAAGTAGGAAACGCCAGGGTTAGGACCCACCAGGGATTTGACTCTTGTCCCTCCCTGTTTATTTGAGAGCTGATTTAATCCATCTGTAGGAGTGTCTTGGTGTGGCTGTACACGTTTCTGTCAGTTGAGGTTTACCTGACGTGAGTTCAGAAAAAGGACTTTTATACTATCTGCATGTGCCTATTTATCTTTCCAAGGCTTTTGGATTTTCCACTATTACTCAGGGCTGCATGCCCCACCTGTCTCACTACAGGGCCTCTCTGTGTGCAAGGAGACTTGGGAGAGGGGGCAGGCAGCGGGAGCTGAAGGAAAGACCAGGTTGTTTACACCACAAGTTGGGAAATCCCAGATGGGGCCCCTCAAAGGTCAGCCTTGTTCCTCTTGATGCCAGTGAGACATCTAGCCCAGCCAGAGCCCTTTCAGACTAGGTTTTGTAAGAGGGCTTTCATTTCCTGCCTTGGTGGATAAGAAGAAGAGACTTTTTCCCTCCTGGCTGCAATCACTATCATCATCACCATCAACATCACCACCACCATCACCTCCACTATTATGATCAACACCATCATCGGCATCATCTTTCTCATCATCAACACAAAACATTTTAGTCAGCAAATATTATACTCCAATCCCTATGCCCTGAGTTTTCATCTCACTTAATTCTTACAATAACTATACAATAGGTACTATTTTTGGCTCTCATTTACACGAAAGGAAACTGAGGCACAGAGAAGTTAAGCAACTTGTCCCAAATCACACACATAGGTGATGACAGACTCAGGAATTAAACCCACATCTGTCTGATTGCAAGGTCTATGTTTTAAACCACTACACACTTCCTCAAATTCCCCCAGGCTCTGAAGCTGTAAGTATAAAATAGCTTACTCATTTGACTGACGGGAAGACCAAAGTTCAGAAAGGCTTTGAGACAAATGTAGGAAGTGGCAGGTAAGTGACCTATTTCTAAACTGCAGTGTCTAGAAGACAAAGCCCAGAGAGAACGAGCCCCAGGTGGAACCGAGGACATGTGAAAAGGCTTCTTAGGAGAGCTTCCTCATCCTGAGGCCCAGATACGACATCCCTCCTGGATGTCTTCTATGATAAGCCCTCTTTACTTCTTGACTTTCTCCTTGGATTTATAGGACCCGCTGATAGTGAATCATATCATTTAATTTATTTTTGCATTTTCTTATCAGTCACTGAGCTCCTGGCTTTCTTCTGGGTAAGCTCTTTAAATGCCTGGACATTTTTCACTGTAGCCTTCGTGTTTGAAGAATACCTGCCCTTTAAAGGTACATAACTGATGTTTATTGAATGAGTGAATAAACAAACGAACAGATGATCAAACGAGTGGATGTATGAGTGTGTCCAGGAATGAATGAAGAATCACTAGAATGGGGCCTCATCTCTCCTCCTATGGCTTCATTTCCCTCCAGAGCACGAAGCGTGTCTCCATCCATCCATTGCATAGAGTGGACTTAACATTCATGCAGATGCAGTCTATCTCTTTTCAGGGGTTTCCCCAGTGCTGCTCCCTTCTTAAGGGCTGAATGTTGTTTCCTTTGAATGCATGTGTTGCATGTATTCATTATTTAAAATGTGCAGGGTGGATGCCTTGCAGGATGGAATGCAGCATAAGTAGCATTGGGTTCAAAAGCTGATTCAACCATGTTAGTTATGTGAACTGGGCATATGACAACGTCTCTGAGCCTCAGCTTCTTTGTGTGTAAATGGTGATAATATTTACCTAACTGGGGTGTGGTAGAGACACAATGAGGTGGATATATGAAATTGCCTAACAAATGGTGGCTATATATCATAGATTTTCAATGAGTGGTAATTCCCTTTTCCTTTTCCTTCTTCCCTCCCTCCCAGGAAAGTGCTTGACCCCAGGCATGATCTGCAGTAAGTGTCCATTAAGTGTCAGTTCTCACCTCTCAGATTCTTACCATTTGGGAGACACATGGCAGGGGTTGGAGCAGAGCCTCACCCCAACCCTCTACCTTGCACTGGTGCTCAGAGGCAGCCCCTCGGAAAGAGAGGAGCCACCCAGGGCCTGCTTTGGCCTGGAAACACCTACACAGCAGCTCTATTTCTGTAGCTCTCACTGCACCAGGGGCAAGGGTGCAGCAGAGGCCAGCTTTTCTGCCTTATTCCTGGAAATCATCAGTCTCTGCCCTTCGCACTCCTCCTTTTTTCTACCGCATTTTTTTTCCTCCTGGATAATGAGGCCTCCGGAGACCTGTGGAGGTCTGAACCTCGTTATGGCTCTCTCGGTAGACCGGCATCAATAAAGGCAGGCAGACCAGGGAGCTGGGTGGGGGCTGGGGCGGGCAGGCAGCGGGTGGGCGGTGGGGGGAGAACGGGGCAGGGTGGGGGGGTTTGCAGCCTTTTAGATCCCAGGATTTACTTACAGTGAATTATAACTGAACCCTTTAGTGCCTAAGGCTCACAGAGGGAAGGGCAGGAATTCACCTGGGGGCAGAGGGTAGGCCTTGAGTGGGACCTAGGCCTTAGGAATTTAGTCTGCACCTCAAGCTAAGAAAGCCTCCGGTATTGGCATTTGAGAGAGGTCTCCTGTGTCTATCCTGCACATGTCTGTAGCTCATCTGCTTCCGGGTAGGTAGGAGTTAGGTGGGGTAAAGGGAGGGGAGGCAGTGGTATGGAAAGAACTGCCAATCCTGAGTCCTGGCTTCTAGTTCTAGCTCTACCTACTGTGGGACCCTGGGCTGGCCACCCACCTCTCTGATCTTCACTTTCTCTAGCTGTACAATGAGGGGCTTGTGCTTGATGGTCTTCAATGTCCTTGTGATTCTGACATCTAGGCTCTGCGTGCTGCTGGGTGTATAGAGGTCACGAGCCCCGGGGGCGGGGGGGGGTGGTCTGTGTGGGGATTTGGCATTAGGAATAGGAAAAGGCACTCTGCGGTGGAGAAAACAAAGGAAGAGGAGGGCAGGGAATGGGGCTGTTTTGTGGATGTCTGAGCGAGTCAGAGGCAGACAGAGACACAGAGAGAGGATGGCGATGGAGGGAGAAAGAGCATGGGAGGGGGGATAGAACAAAGTGAAAGAGATATCAGAAGGAGGACAAAGAAACAGAGTGAGAAAATCGAGGCAGGAAAAGAACTGAAGCTGGAGAGACAAAGATGGAGATAGGAAAAGAGACAGCAATAGAAGAAAGAGGACAGAGCGAAGAGGGGAGAAGAATGCTGGGGTACAGAGGGGAGGGGGTCCGGCCAGGTCTAGTGCCAGGTCCCTGTGCCCAGAGTGCTGAGTAAGGCCTTGCAATCCGTGCCCTCAGCTCATTTGAGAAACAGAACACCCAGTATCGGGTTCTGCTCTGGCTATCCGGAGCACAATCTGCAGCAGGCGGGCAGACAGCAGCTCCCTGGGTCTGCAAGGCCTCCCAGCACCGCAGGCAGAGAGGCTGGTGGAGAGAGGCATAGCTGAGCCTTGCCCTGACCCCAGCTCCTCTCCCCTTCTCCAGGGTGAAGAGCCAGTGCCCAGATCCGGTACATGAGGCCTGGGATCCATCCTGTCCCGGAGGGCACAGGGGGTCCCGATCCATTGGGTGACACAAGGGAAAGGGGGTGGCCAACCCCAAAGTCAAATGGGCAATGACACTGGCTACCACCAGGAGGGGCCCTCCATGATTATCTGGCCCAGGACACGCCAGCCTGGCAGAGTGGGGAGAGCACGGAACTTGGACTTAGGCTGGGGTTCGAGCCCTCACTCTGGGCCTATCACTTTCCTTCTGAGATCTCAGTGTCCACATCTAGAAAATGCAGACAATGACCCCTCCCTCATTCAACTGTGCTGAGGTTTAGCTGTAGTCCTGTGTGCCAAAGAACGGCCACATGAACTACCACATAGTAGGCGCTCCATAAATAATAGACATTAATAGCCCCCTAATTCAGCAGCAATTGCTCTCCACAAAACAAGCAAAGCACGGGGCAAGAGAGAAGCAACCTGAGCAATACAGCCCTTGCCTTCTAAGAGCGTATACTAGAGAAGGAAGATAACCCTGTCCTTAGAAGGATGGCCTTTATAGTCAGATAGACACAGGTTTGTGACCTGGTTCTGCCACTCCCTACCTGTGACCCTGGTGCCTCAGTGTCCTCATCTGTAAAGTCTCATTGTTGCTGAGTTGATTCTGACTAATAGCAACCCTGCAGGACAGAGTAGAACTGCCCCATAGGGTTTCCAAGGCTGTAATCTTTACAGAAGCGAACTGCCACATTTTTCTCCTGCAGAGCAGCTAGTGGGATGGAACCACTGACCTTTCGGTTAGCAGTCTAGTGCTTAAACACTGTGCACCAGGGTTCTTTCATCTGTAAAGTACGAGGGCACTAAAACCAGTAACCGGATACCATCGAGTCGGTACAGACTCATAGTGACCTGAATGTGTCTCAGAGTAAAACTGCAATCCATAGGGTTTTCAGTGGCTGATTTTTTGGAAGTAGATCACCAGGCCTTTCTTCTGAGGGACCTCTGGGTGGACTTGAATCTCCAACCTTCTGTTAGCACCCGAGTGCATTAATTGTATGCACCACCCAGGGACTCCTGGGGACAATAGAACCTCTTATTCCTAGGCTGTTCTCAAGATTCAATGAGACAATAATTAAAAGCTCCTTAGCACAGGGCCTGACACAAAGTATTACTTCAGGACTATAAAAATGATTGTAAACAAGTCCCTACCCATCAGGACAGGTGTGATGATTAAATAATATATATAAAGAGACCAACATGGGACTAGGACACAAGAAATTCTCAACAGTGTAATTTACCTCCCTGTTAGCTAGCAGGTGGGCCAAAGCGGCCCCATCACTCACCTTCACACGTGTGGGATTCAGCCAGTAGGGGATGTCGCGCACGGTCACGTTCACTGGCAGGATGATGGACTCGCTGTTGTGGTCCAGGCATGAGGTGGCGCACTCTGACCCTGAGAGCAAGCACAGTACAAGGTGGCGGCTCAGCCCACCTATCTCCCAATGCCCATGTGCTGCCCTTCTTAGAGTGGACTCTGCCACCCCTAGTCCAGTGTACTCGGCCATTCTACCCTCAAGCAGGAAGGAATCAGCTCCCCTGGGATGGCTGCCTCTAGTCTCTCTGACTCTGTTCATTTGTCTCCAATCCAGCTGGCACCCACCGCCATGCTCTTTGGCCCTCAGCCCAGTTTGGTCATGCTCCTCCTCCACTCAAAAACCTGTCCACGGCTCTCCATATCCAGGACAAAGTCCAAATCTCTTTGCTGGGCATTCAAGGCCTCCCAGAGTCTAGCCCAATCCAATCTCCCAATAACCACCTTCACCCTTTGGTTGACCCAACCAGACTGAACTACACTTGGTTTTCCATCCATTCCCTGAACTTCCCCACCTCTAAACTTCTATTCCTATTCAGCCCTTCTCCTGAAACAGCCTCCTGATCTGACTTCCCATGGGCAAATCCTATCAGTTCTTCAAGTCCCAGTTCAAATCTTCTGAGAAGCCTGCCCTGATTTCTACAGCTGATCGCTAGATCTTCTGAATGCCTACTACATTGGATCTGTCTCTTTGGGGCACTGATGAAGTTTGTGCCAGTATTGGCATCACCCTCCTTGTGCCTCCTCTCCACAGTTAAAGTGTTGTCCCTGGAAGGGCAGAGACAGTGATTGATTCACCTGGGCATGTCTGAGTCTAATCCAGTGCCTGACACCTAGGGTGAGCTTAGTAAGTAAAAAATGAGCTTATGAATGCAACACTAGCTTGTTAGTCCCCACTCTACATCCCTGCCCTCCCTTGGACCTTGAAGACCCTTCCCACTCTTCTTCAACTAGTGCATTACTAATGATCCTTTGCACTTCAATCCAAGTATCACTTCCTCAGAGAAGACGTCAATGGGTTCCTGACAGGCCAAATCCCCTCACAGGCACCAGCCATAGCATTTGCCATATTACTATTTCCCATTTGCTTGGTGATTGCTATATTAATAGCTCTCCTCCCTGCTGGAGTATAAACTCCATGAGGACAGCACTGTCTGTGGTCCCCATTCTATGCCCAGAGTTTAGCACTGTGCCTGTCAGATGGTGGTCACTCAATAAGTATCTGTGGAATGGATGAAAGAAATAACAAGCGAGTAACTGACTAAATGAGGAGATGAATATGTGAATGAATGAATGAAGCAATGAGTGAATGCTGAGTAGGCATTTAGGAATCTTACGAATGAGGAAGGGAGTGTGTAATATGGATGAATGAGAAAGTAAACGTTGAATAAATGGATAAATAAATGAAAAATGAATAAAGTCATCGGTCAGTGAAGGCATGGATGACTAACAGGGACAGGGTTTGCACAAAGAAGCCATCAGTCGAGGGACTTCTGGGTGAAGATAGTTGACTTTCAGGCCATGAGTTGGCAAGTTGATGATAATTTGGCTCATCCATTCTCAAGCCTGACCTCACACATTCTAAGGTCTTCGAAAATCCAAGCCTATTCCATGGAGGTCTCCAGGACTCCAGGGAGGTGCTCATTCATGTAGGCAGGGACGTGACCTGTCAGAATCTGACCAGGGCCCTATAGAGTTCATGTAGTCATTCCCCTGCTTTAGTGCCAAGGACACCCTCAAATATTAAATGGCTCACTAGGTGAGAATCAAGTCTTTTCTTTAAATACCCTATTCTATTAGCCATTCTAAACGTTCCCTTCCAAAAATACTTCTATTAATACATAATGTATGTATGTGTATATATATATATATATATGTATAAAACATGTGTCTCTGTCAGTTTGTCCTACTGTGGTGGCTTGAATGTTGCTATTGATACTGGACGCTTTGCCACTGGTATTTCAAATACCACCAGGGTCACCCTTGGTGGACAGGTTTCAGCACAGCTTCCAGACTAAGATAGACTAGGAAGAAGGACCTGGCAGTCTACTTCTTAAAAAATTGGCCAGTGAACTGAAACACTCTCTATATAATTCTGGCAATTGCGTCAACTACCGTACCCTGTGACACATGGGGTTAGTTACTTTTGGTGTTCTTTAATGCATTAATTTATGAACTTTTACAATATGGGGGCATAATAATGAGAAAGGCACTTCGTGACATCAGCGTGCTTACACACTACTAAGCAGGAATTTAATGTTATTTTAATAAAAATAGTATTTCTTTAAAAAATGCACAATATGACCATAAACTTAGACAACAATTCTTCTGATCGAGGGAATTAGGAGTTGACATTTCAGCTAGACGTGTAGACAACACATTTGGGTTGGGCTGTTCAATCGATATTTCCAATTTAGATGCAGTAGGCCAGATGTTTCTGGAAATATGCAGCTGTGAAGCTTTGTTTTTTTGGTGCAGATTAGATCCAGATTAACTCTGGATCAAAATTTCCTTCCATGAACTGATAAGAGTGTAGCACAAAGAGACTACTACATAGAGTGTCCCATTTTTTATTTGGGCATCTAATAATTATAAGCTAGTCCATAGTCAAATACAAAGAAATAAGCAACTAAGAAGCCGTTATGATGGAACCAAAGCTAATAAAAACATAACTCTGAATGAGAAAAAAAAAAAAAAAAAGGCCAGTGAAAACGTTATGAATAGCAGCAGAACATTGTCTGATATAGTGCCAGAAGATGAGCCCCTCAGGTTGGAAGGCACTCAAAACAGGACTGGGGAAGAGCTGCCTCCTCAAAGTAGAGTTGATCTTAATGATGTGGATGGATTCAAGCTTTCAGGACTTTAATTTGCTGATGTGGCACATCTCAAAATGAGAGAAACAGCTGCAAACATCCATTAATAATGGGAACGTGGAATGTATGACTGGACCAACAAACTACATTATGATAAATGAAGAAAATACTAAAGTTGTCAAGGATTTCATTTTACTTGGATCCACAATCAACAACCATGGAAGCAGCAGTCAAGAAATCAAATACTGTATTGCACTGGGCAAATCTGCTGCAAAAGACCTCCTTAAAGTGTTAAAAAGCAAAGATGTCACTTTAAGGACTAAGGTGCACCTGACCCAAGCCATGGTGTTTTCAATCACCTCATATGCATGTGAAAGCTGGACAATGAATAAGGAAGACCAAAGAAGAATTGATGCCTTTGAATTATGGTGTTAGGGAAGAATACTGAATATACCATGGACTGCCAGAAGAACAAACAAATCTGTCTTGGAAGAAGTACAGCCAGAATGCTCCTTAGAAGCAAGGAAGGCGAGACTTCGTCTCACATACTTTGGACATGTTATCAGGAGGGACCAATCCCTGGAGAAGGACATCATGCTTGGTAAAGTAGAGGGTCAGCAAAAAAAGAAGAAGACCTTCAATGACATGGATTGACACAGTGGCTGCTTTGGGCATAACAATGACTGTGAGGATGGTGAAGGACCCAGCAGTGTTTCGTTCTGTTGTACATAGGGTCGCTATGAGTTGGAACTGACTTGACAGCACCTAATTAACAGAATATATATATAAAATATGTAGCCCTGATGGTGCAGTGGTTAAGGGCTTGGCTGCTAACTGAAAGGTCAGTTGTTTGAACCTACCAGCAGCTCCATGGGAGAAAAAAGTAGCATCTGCTTCCATAAAGATTACAGTCTTGGAAACCCTATCGGGCAGTTCTACTCTGTCCTATAGGGTCACTATGAGTCGGAATCAACTCAATGGTTATGAATACATATAAAATTGTGTGTGTGCGTGTGTATATATATATATATATACACATACTTATATATATGTATGAATATGTGTGTATATATATTTTAATCTAACCAGTGGCATTCCTGTTGTCATCTTGTCATTCCTTTCTGTCTAAGAGACTCATAGGTCTGAAGAGGCGGGGTGTGGTGACAGGTTTAGGGATGATGTTTAGAACCTCTTCACTTTCTCTGCTGCTGGGATACTGCTCCCAGAAGGGGGAAGATTCTTGGCCTTGCCAGGTGGTTTCATATGTCACCTCATTTCACTGCAAGTTCAGCCATGCAAAATGGTATCATCATGTCCATTTCACAGAAGAAGGACAAAACGTACAGAGCTCAGGTAGCAGAGCTGGCAGGCATGGTTCAAAACTTATGTCTCTCTGAATTCCAGGCCTTGCTATCTTTATGATGTAGCATTCAGAGAGAAGAGAAGGGAAGGTAGCATGGAAGGGAGAGAGAGGGTGAAAGGGCAGAGGTGAGAAAAAAAAAAAAAAAAGAAGAAAAGCAAAAAGACCAAAAAAAAAAAAGAGTGATGAAAATAAGGGGGAAAAAAAAATCCCCAAACAGAGAAACTTAGTGGTGCATGGTTTCTCTTGAGATTGGTTCTAAAGTAGTTTTTTAGAGAGCAGAGAGAACTCAGGAAATGAGCCCGGGCTGTGATGATAAAATTCTTTTGAAAAACAAAACAGCACAGCCTCTGAGAAATAGACAAAGGCTATCTTATCTCAAGAGGAGAGAAAAAGGAAGAAATACGGCCAAACGGGAGGCAATTGCAGTCGTGTCTTAATTTCTCTTTCTCTGAGTCTCCTCTCCCCTCCCCCACGCTAGCTCTTGGGCTTCAGGACCAGGCCACTGTGTTGTGATATATGAGCTGTAATTGGCATCATTACAGAGCAGTGATCTCACACCCCCACCCCCACCCCCCACCTCTCCTTCCCAGGAGAAGCAGGGATGGTGGCAGCAGTGGTAGCAGCAGCAGCAGCAGCAGCAACTTTCTGAGGGCTCATCATTGCCACTGAAGCCACCCCCAGGCTGCTGTGGGGGCAGGGGCAGAGAAAGCTGCTCTGGGTGACCCAAGAATGCACCCTTCAGCCCCCAAGCCCAACATGCACCTCGCCCTGCTTACAGGGCTTCAGAACAAATCCCTCCCCATTTAGTGGGCTCTGCTCAGAGAGGGGCTCAGCCTGGAAGGTAGATAGAGGGGCCATTTGGAGGGGAGGAGGGAGAGGGAGCTGGGGGGTGGGGGAGGGGAGTCTCTCTTTCCTGCTCCCTGCCTCCCTTGGTGTCTTTCTCCCATAGCCTTTTCTCTCTCTGCTCTCCCGCAATGTGCCCCCACCCACTCGCCCACCCTGAATTACTATATTCATAAAATGGGCATCTGGGCTGCAGTGGGAACATAACGTACAGAGGAGGGGACAGAGATTCAGAGTCCCTTTCTGCTCTGACCTTGAAAAAGCTCAGAAGACACAGGAATGCCACCACCACACCCTGTCCCCTACCTCTAGACAGTCCTGAGGGGGAGTGGAGAGCCAAGCATTATGGCTCATCTGTGTGTGGTTGTGGCATGTGAATAAATGCAATGTACGTACAGTGTGGCCCCATGGTGTATTTGTGTATGTGTGGGAGCTATGTTTATCTCTTGTGGATCTCTCTGTGCGTTTGATATATTTCAGGCCAGAAGATGTGTCTGTGCCCATGACCTATATGTGCACTGGTATGATGCATGGATGTGTGTGTGCTCTGTGTGGGTTTATGTGTCATCTGATAATGGATGTGTTTGTGTGGGTGATGTATTTTTGTGGTATTTGGTTGACGTGCACATGCTAGGCATCAGCTTGCTGCATGATGTATGTGTTTGGTTCTGAAATCTTGTGTTTATGATATATGTTTATTTATGCATATGTGAATATATTTGCATGTGTCACTGGATGTAAATTTGCAAGAAGTCTGTTTCTATAGGCTTTCATAAAGGTCACTTAATCAGAAATTTTCTCCCAGGACTGCTCAATGCCAGTCATGAGTATTCTAAATATTCACTTTTATATCCTGATTAAATTAAGGGTAGGGACCTCATCACAGATATGAGTGTCTGTGTCCACTCACACCCATCAGGAATGATGGTAAGGAGAAGGCCTTGGGACAGAGCAGCCAACACAGCTCACCATTGCTACACCTGTTACCCCCCAACTTTCTAGAATGCCTAGGTCAGCAGGCTCTATAAGATCCCACTTCTCACAACTCTCTTGGTCAGGGTCCTTTGGATTGGTAGCTCTGTAAGATCTTCACGTACCTTCTGAATCATCAGAGAAAGCAACCATGTGCTATTCTATTTTCTAATCCATGCAGGAGTAAGTGCCCTGGACTAAGTGCAGGAGTGCTGATTCCTGCTCGAAGTTTAGGCGAACAATCTGCTCTTCAGGCTATGTGTTCCCACCTTCAAAAGGAGGTAGTCATCCCTGATGGTAAGACCCCACACCCCTCCGCCCTCCAACCATGGCCTCACTCTGGACGTGCAGTGATAACTCTCAGTAAACCAGAAGGTTTGCTGGGTGAGGAACATGTTGGGGCTCTGTGGGGCTGGAAGTGTATGTGTACACAGATAACCTGCTGCTCCAGACATGCCTGGCAATAGTTCCATAAATCACATTGGCCGTGAGAAACGACATTCAATTCCCTGGGCTTTTCATCGTGGTCAATTAGGGAATCAGCCCAAGAGGTCAGCATCACTGCCCTTAAATGAGGTCACACTCGATGCACTCCCAGTTTCTCGGGAAGCCCTGGAGCCTATGATTAATGCACCTGTCCTGACACCTGGTTTCAACCAGGCAAATCCCTGGCATCAAACCCCAATTCTCAGCCCTCATTGTTAGCATTTTTGCAAGCTGGCCTATCACCACACAAACAGTACTATTCTGAAAATGCTCTTTATCCTCATTTTGGATGCAGCTGAGATGCCATGGAAAGAACTCGGGCTTTGGAGTAGGACAGGCATCAGGATTTGGGGCAGGTCACGTTACCTCTTCTTTTCTCCATTTTCTCATCTGTTAAAGGTTATTGAGAGGCTAAGAGATATGCCTTTAAAGTGCCTGATACAGGACCTCATAGACAGCAGGTACTCATGAATGTCTAGTGTTATGAAAATTTTAAGATTAATAATCAAAGCAGCCACACTGGACCACTATTGCTTTCCTAAATATGCTGTGGTATTTCACGTCTCCTTCCTTTTGGACACGTGGTTCCATCTGCCTGGGATGCCAATTCTTGCCCAGCAAGCTCTTTCAACTCTTTATGTAAGTGTCTCTGCTCTGGGAGCCTTCTGTGTCCCCCAAGGCAGCCGTCATCTTGTCTGTACTCCTGTGTAACTGTGCACACTCACCAACCACTGTTCTGCCCATATTTGCCCATCTCTGTGCTGCTGACTCTCTTTCCCAGTAGACTAGGAGCTCCAGGAGGACAGGGTCTGGGCTCACTCATCTTTGTTCCCCTAGTGACAGCACAGAGTCTCACAGAGTAGAGGTGTCCACTGACCACCCAGGTACTAGCCCTGAGCTCCTGGAAGGACGAGCCCCCTCCCACCAGTCACCCCCACGTGCCTATCGTACCTATGGCATAGCCGTTGGGGCACTGCAGTATGAGGTTGCTGCTGAGCTGGTTCGGGGCAGAGCACTGGCCTTGCATCTCCTTGCAGATGTAGAAGGAGCCATTCCAGGTGCCATCTTTCCGGCAGTAGATGATGTTGCTCCCCTGTTCCTGAACAGAGAAACATGGTCAGGACCAAGACAGACCTCTATTCCCCAACATGATAAGCCTCTCAGAATAAAAGAGGAAACAATTCCTCATCTCCCTAGAGATCTGAGAAGTCTTCCAAAACAATTTCTTAACGATAGTAAAATCCCAATCACCCTGGGAGGGAGAGGTATTGTTAGCATTTCCATTTTACAGATGGGGAAACCAAGGGCTCAGTGCAGGGCTCAAGGCTTCCCAAAGAGCCAGTGGGACATGGAACCAGGCTTCCTAGCTCCTAGCTTAGTGGTCTTTCAGAGATTTTGATCAGAGCATTCAGCATAAAAATTTTGCTTTGTGTTGTTTGTTGTCACTGAGAAGGTAGGGGCCCATCTGCTCCCCGGCTCTCCTGCAGCAAGAGCACTAGTCCTGGAGCTGTTCATGAGGGGGGTAGGTGTAACCAAAGCCTGTTTCCCCTCAGCCGAGGACAGCATCCTGTGTCAGGGATCTACCATATGCTAACTAGGTAAACTTGGCCCCCCTGAGAACCTTCCCTCCCCTCACTTTCTTTCCCTCTTCTTCCCTTCCAGTCCATTTCATTCAAGCAATAATGGCACCAAGAGGGTCATGTGGGGATACGTCTATCTGTGCTCCCTTATTTCCTTAAAATAAGCAATAATATAGAGTTTCTCAAACTCTTGCCAAAAAAAAAAAAAAAAAAATTGCTATCGAGTCGATTTCAACTCATAGCAACCCTATAGGACAGAATAGAATTGCTCCATAGGGTTTCCAAGGAGCAGCTGGTGGATTTGAACTGCTGACCTTTTGGTTATAAGCCAAGTTCGTAACCATGCACCACCAGGGCTCCAAAGTGTTAGGCAACTGCAGATTGAAGAGGTGCTCCCTTCTCCCAGCCCTCCCTTCCAACCTCCAAAGTGCTCCTCTGCACACATTTCATAACTGTCACTACATTCAAGGAACATTTATTACTGCCCACTCTGTGCCCAGCTATGTGGGGTCCAAAAGTAACAAGAGAGTCACGTGAGCAGCCAGCCATAACATAAGTGTGACTGTGCTTAGTGATGCCGGGCAAGTATTGCCCCAGTGCTGTGAGTACATGGGGGCTGGGGGTAGTAAGGTGATAACCGAGGAGGCTCCTCAAAGTAGGCAATAAGCTGGAAAAGAGTTTTCAAGGGTGAGTAGAATAAGAGGTAGCAAAGGTATGGAAAGGCATTCCTGGAAGAAGGAATGGCATGTGCAAATGCAAGAAAGCTCAGTGAGCATCGGAGAGCCTAGTGTGGTTCTGATTCTGTGACTCAAGGGAGGGAGTGGAGGGAGATTAGCTGGCACAGCAGACATGTTACAGAACCTTAAAGGCTAGCTTAAGGAGTGTGGGGTCTACCCCGTAGGAGACGGTTCTAAGTAGGGGGCCCATCTTTTGAAAGAGAGAACAACTGAATATTCTCTCCTTTTTAGGCTTATAACAGAAGAGAAACTGTAAGTGAGGCCAAAGAAGTTAACCTTGCTCCATCAGAGTAAAAATCTATTCAGTGGCTCCCCATGACATTCAGCTTCCCTTCCAAACTCCTGTGCCTGCCTCCAGAGCCCTCACAGCCTTAACTCTGCTTAATTCTCCAGTTCATTGCTCCCCACAGCACCACCACCAACCTTGAACTTCGGTTTGCATTACCTGCATTCTCAAATGTACCATGTGCTGTTTCACACCGCCATGCTTTTGCACTTGCTGCTCCTTCTGTCTGCTAAGATCCCCTCCCCACTGGTCCACCTGGCAAACATGTTTTTATTGGGCAGGAATCATCCTGTCTTAATGCCACTCCAATTCCAACGGCGTGGCACCTTAATGTCTGGCACACAGGTCATTGCCTCTTTATTTACCATCTGTTCCCCAACTATATGATGAGCTCTCCAAGGTCTAGGACTATGCCTTAGTCATCCCTGTGTTCTGAGAGCCTTCACAGCACCTAACAGGTCCTGGCTACTCACATACATTCACTCACTCACTCATATATATATATATATATATATATAGTACTTTAGATGAAGGTTTACAGAATAGTTTCTCATTAAACGGTTAGTACACATATTATTTTATGACAATGGTTAACAACCCTACAACATCTCAACACTGTCCCTTCTGAACTGTGGGTTCCCTATTACCAGCTTTTCTGTCCCCTCCTGCCTGCCAGTCCTTGTCCCTGGACTGTTGTGCCTCATTAGTTTTGTTTTGTTTTACTCATAGATATTTTTGCTCACTCACGAAATGTTTAAGAATAGATGGGTTGAATAAATGGAGAGTGATTGAATTTTTTTTTTTAATAAACAAGAAAACAAATGCATGATCAGGAATAAATGAGTCAATGAAGAAATGAATGAGTGAGGGAATAAATGAATGCACATCTGAGGGAATGAATATACTTGTTAAAAAGGCTGATACAGGCTGAAGCTCCCTTGTCTGAGAAAACAGCTGCAAGTAAACAGGATTCAAAAGAGAAAGGAAGCCCTTCTCTGGGCCTGTCCCGGACCAGCAGGAGGAGGGTCCGATTGTAGTGGATATGTCCCTGGCCATGGGAGAAGAGTGGCCCATCCTGAGCACGCAGCTGCAGGGCCACTTGCAGAGTCCATTCCCAGAGGCTCAGTGTGAGCTCAGGGCAAGTTTATGCAGCCTCATGTGGCTTCAGAGAACCCCGACTCTCCCTCCCTGGAGTCCCAGGCTCCAGGCACCATGATTCTGTTGGGCCCTCAGGGGATTAGGAAATTGACCCCAATTTCCTGGAGCCTTGGTCTGGGCCTATGATGCATTTGGCCCCCAGCCCCTGAAGGGCTGCAGACCTCAGCACTATGTAGGCCAGGACTAGCTGGAGAGCTTTGTTTGTAGCAGAGAATGTATCAGAACTAGCTGGAATCTGCGTAGGGAATTTCACACTGGGAAGGTCCCACCACAGAAGGTGAACGCATAAAGGACCGGTCTTGCTGTCTCTAATCACTCTCCCTATTGCCCAGTTCGTCTGGCAATTTCTGCTGCTGACTAAATGTGCCTTAAAAATACGGCACCTTAGCCTTCACCTTAGCCTTCAGAGCAAGGCAAATTCAGGTATTGGCACTCCTGGGCTTCTACAGTCTAAACCAGACCAAATTTCTAGCCCCTTCCATTGTTATGTTGAGTCTCTCGGTGGTACAGTTACTAACTGAAAGGTCGGAGGTTCCAGTCGATCCAGAGGCACCTTGAAGGAGTCCTGTCAATCTATTTCTGAAAAATCAGCCATTGAAAACCTTATGGAACATAGCTCTACTCTGACACGTGGGATCTCTATGAGTCAAACAGACTGCAGAGTAACTTGTCTATTGCTATGCACATATCCTTCATTCTAGTGAATCAATCACCTTGTTCCCTCCCCCTCCTCTTCTCTTGCTTGCCCACCTCCACACCTTTGCCCTTCTGTGCCCTCTGAACAGGCAGACTTTCTGGAGCCACTCTGCATTTTCAAATCCTCTTTTAGGATTGGATCTTAGTGCACTTGGCACTTGCCTATCGCCTGGTGCAAACGTTCTGTGTACTTCCTTGCTGACTGAGTCTAGGCTGACCATAGGCCTGGTTTTGTTGAGCCTCCAGTCTTTGAAGACCAGAGAACACTTTTTCCAGCCACTGGCAGGAAACCTACTGGGTATATTTGGCTCTGAATGCACAATTCTGCATGCTAAGATGAAATCTCTTACAAGAAGACCGAGCATCCCTCAGGACAACATTCTGTATCTTTGTGCCTATGCATCCATCTGTAAGAACTGAGCATGTTGTACTCTCTCTAACTTTCCTACCTCTGTAGCTACAAAGAGCCACAAAGAGCTGGTAGGAATATAATTATTATATTATTGAACACCTATTGTGTGTCATGTGTTTAACATACATTTAAAACACCCTTTTAACAACATGGTAGAGTAGCAATTACGTTCCTTTTATAAATTAGTAAACCGAGGCTCAATTAGGAATTGAAAAAGTGAGTTTTTAAATGATGCTAGTATAATGGTCAAGAGCATGGACTTGAGACAAATTGTCTTGGTTCAAATCCCAGATCTGCAACTTCCTAGCTGTCTAGACTTGGGGAAGTTACTTAACGTCTCTAGGCCTCAATTTTCTCAACTGTTAAATGGGCATAGGTATCCACTGCCTGGTAGAGTCCTCATGAGAATGGAGTGAGCTAGTTTATGTGAAGCATTTTGAGCCTGGTATACGGGGCTCTCTAAGACTCTTAATTCCTCTACTGTACTGTCTCTAAGGAAACTTCCGACATCAACCCAACCAGAAAGGGGAGGCATTGTGGCCAAGCCATAGAGGGGTCTTGTGCCAGAGTGAGGTCACATGACTAGTAAGAACTTATGTACTTTTACCACAATGGAAGAGAGGGAGAGAGAATGAACTAGACTTATTCTCTTTAGTAGAAATTAAAATAAATAAAATAATGGTGGGGAGAAATTATGGCAGCGTCAGGGCAAGACAGAACCAGGCAGTGCAGTGTGGGAAAGAATTACGCTTTGGAGGCAGCCTGACCTGTGCAGGAATCTCAGTTCTACCACCTCCTAGTTGTAAAACATGGGGCAAGCCACTTTACCTCTTGAACCTCAGTTTTATCGTCTGTAAAATGGGAACAGTAGCGCCAGGTGCTGTGGGGCTTAAATGAAGAGATCAGTGGCAGCACTGAGTCCAGCGACTGGCATGTAGTAAGTGCTTGATAAGTTGAAGCTGTTGTTAATATTTAACTCTACTCCCAGCCAATACTTTCACACTCATTTTGCTTCCTCCAAGTAAATTACAGTGGTGCTGTGCAGCCCCAGAGGTGAGGATGGACAGAAAGAGAGGCTTGCACAGTAATGTGGTTAGGAAATCTAAGACTTGGTTTAAGAACTAGCTCTGCCAGTAACTTGCTGTCACTTGAGGTAAGCCTCTTCCTCTCTCTGGGCTTCAGTGGTTCCATCTGCAATATAAGTGGGTTGCAGTGGGGGGTCCCTGCCCAGCTCTAAGGTCACATAGGTCTGTGACGTTTCTTCTAGCGGTTCTTCTAGGAGGCCCTGTGATGTCTGGGCAAGCATTTGGCAACCCTGAAACAAGATGCTGCCCCTGCCTGCTGAGACATTGTCCATATGAGAGTTGTATTGTGTCCACAGCAGAACTCATAAAGGCAGGGGCCAATCCACGCCACTTGTGGCAAAAAGGCTCTTACAGCCAACTTCTGTGATTCATGCAGTGAACTGGATGTGTTATTGATTCCACTCCCACCCATCCGCTCTTGCTCCTGCTCAGTTGCTGAAATCCATCATTAAGGGCATTACTTTGTCCTTTAGCCTTTGTCCTTTCCCACAGCAGCCCCTGTGCATGCTCCTCCTGTAGACCCCGTCCCCATCCCATGCCCGCCTCACTCCCCTAATCACCTACAAATCCCCCACAGTGCTTTTCACGTGGAACTGGGTTTGAGTTATCACCTCAGACAGCCCAGGAGCATCTGAGCTGGATTAAGTCCTGAGACAATTAACACTTCCCTCTGGTTCCCTGGGGGTTGGATCCCTAGCCTGCCCTGGAAATCCTTGCTCTCTCTGTTGGGGGCAGTGGAAAGAGCAGGGCTGTGAAGTCAGAGTACCACTTACTAACTCATAACCCTAACCATGGGTAAGAACTTACTAGCCCACAGCCTTCTTTCCTCATCTGTAAAATGGGGATATTGTTTCTTTTGCAAGTGTTTATGGCAAGTTGTCAAAACAAGAGAAAGTCTGCACCACCAGCCTGGCACCCAGCAAACATTCAAAAATTTAGAGCTGTTACTATTAAGGCTCCCTGCCTTGGTTTAGAGGGGCAAGAACACTATCATCCTACAGCTGAACTGTCCAGTATGGAAGCCACTGCCACATGTGGCTATTTATATTTAAATCTGAATTAATTAAAATTAAATACAATTTAATATTTAGTTCTTCAGTCACCGTAGCCACGCTTCAAGTGCTCCATAGTCACATGTGGCTAGTGGTCACCATATCGGACGGCACAGATATGGAACATTTTCATCATCACAGAAAGTTCCATTGGGCAGTGCTGGTCTAGAGGGACTAGAAGACTGTGTATTCTACAAGTTTACTTGTGCAAGAGGCTAGGTTTCTCTTTGGCTCATACTGGCCTCCCCATTCCACACATTGGCCTTATGAAGGATAGATGCCTCCTTCTCTGACTTTCCAGAGCTGGCACCGGGCTGCCAGTCAGAGGACTAGGTTTCAAGTCATTGCCTTTGGTTCTACAACCTCTAGGAGGCCAGATGGAGCATTAGGGATTTTCACCACTGGAAGTGACCTTAACATCAAGCTAGTTCATTTGAATCTTTCCCAGAGCTCTCATGTATGGCTGCATAGGTTGTGCACTGCATGACTACAGGGAGTGCTCATAGACATACTCTACTTTCATTACTTCATTTAATCCTCACACATAAGCTACGAGGTGAGTACAAGTATATCCTTCCACTTTATAATGAGGAAACTGAGGTTTAGAGAGTTAAGTAGCTTGCCCAAGGTTCTCCAGCTTGTAGGTGGTAGAGCTGGGATTCGAACTCAGAGTTCAGGTCCTGCATCATGCTGGCTTCCAAGGAATGAATGAAGTAGGAGGAGGGCTTATTTTTAAATTTGCTTTTAGTGGCAGTGGAAGGGAGTGTGTGACTCCCCCTACAATGTCACCACCCCCCCATCCTTTCCTGCTGGGATCTGGAACTTGTTTGAGACACAAAAAATTCTTCTTCCGTACAAGCTGTTAGATTCAAGATGCTCTGGGCCGTACGTTTCTGCTGTGTTTACAGGCAGTGAGAGGGGATCTGAGGTGAATACTAGATTTGGCTCACAGGTCTCCGGTCTGAGGGTAGAGGAAATGCACTTTCAGTACAAACTAGAAGCGTCAATTGTATTAGGAGCCCATTTGGCACGCACTCCCTCATTCTTTGAGCCGACAAGCAATACCCTGCTCCTTTGAGTATAGCCTCTCCGCTAGTTGCCAAACAGAGCTGCTTGAGTCGTCTGATAAATTTACATTTTCCTCTCCTTTAAATACAAACTGGCCATGAAAGTTACTTGGCAGGCCCCAGGCAGACTGGGTTTCAGTTTGATAACATGACCACCGCCAGAATATTATTTGGCTCAGCAGTTTGGGTAACTGTTAGCAACAGTTTTATGTAAGGGAGTGAGAAGCAAGTTGATCAGCCTGCGTGAGGCCATGGTAATCTCTGGCTTTTGCTTGTTCTGGCACTGGCTTCTGCTTCCATGACAGTCAAGGATGGGAATGATTTGGGGCACAGATGCCTGTGAGTTTGCAAGCAAGGATTTTCAGGACTGTCTATTTGAGTCAGTCTGTCCACAGCTGGGGAGACCTTGATTCTAGCTGTGGCACAGCCAGCACCAGCAGTGTCACTTTGGGTGGTTAAGTAACCTCTCTAAGTTTGTTTTTTCATCTGGAAAATGAGAAATTGGCCTAGATGTTCATTGTGGTTCTTTAAAGCCCTTAGTTCAATGTCATTTCCTGAGCACCTACTAGGCACCTGGCACTGTCCTAAGTGCTGAAGGCACAGGGAAGATTAAAGACAAGGTCAAGGACTTTACAGCCAAGGGGAGGAAAGTGAAATGAAAGTGGACAGTTACAGTGCGTTGTGGCCAATGCTGTGAAGTGGGAACCCAGGCGAGGAACACTCAACTCATCAGAAGGAAGGGGCATCAGAAAGGGTTCCTGGAGGAAGGGGTGCCCAAGCTGAATCTTGAAGGATGATGAGAAGCCAGGCAGGTAGAGAGGTGAGAGGAGAACTCTTTAAGGTAGAGAATGCAGAGATGAGATGGGAGATCATGCTACTGGTCAAGAGGTAGGGGTCTTGAATGCCACCCTAAGGAGTTGAAATTTTGTCCTTAGGGAAATGGGAATCACTGGTTCTTAAAGGGCTTTAAGCAGGGGAGTTGTCATAATCAGATTTATGCTCCAAACCAGTCACTCTAGCTGAAATGTAGAGAATATACTGGAGAGAGGCAAGGGAGGAAGAGCAGGTAGCTGAGCAAGAAGCAGCTGAGTGGTGGCCTGGGAGCCTGGGAAAGAGATGACGGCGTCGTGAGTTAGGGTGGTAGCACTGGGGGCAGGGAGAAGAGAAGAGCTTCAGGAGATGTTTTGGACAGAGAATGGACAAGACATGGTAATTGTCTGGATGCGGAAGGAGGGAATAGAGTTGAAGATGGTGGTTTGGGAAACTGAGGAAAGGATGTGTATTTAATTCACCCTTGACCATTTTGACCATGGTGCCCAGGGCAGTGCCTGGTATTTGGTAGGCTCTAATTTGGAGCCCTGGTTGTTCAGTGGTTAAGCACTTGATTGCTAACCAAAATGTCAGCAGTTCGAACCCACCAGCTGTTCCACGGGAGAAAGATAGGGCAGTCTGCTTCTGTAAAGATGACAGCCTTGGAAACCCTATGGGGCAGTTATACTCTGTCCTCTAGGGTTGCTATGAGTTGGCATCAACTCCACGGCAATGGGTAATAAAAAATGAGTGAAGACAGTACCACCTGCACTGGGGCCCAGCTGAATGAGCTCTGACCTCATCTGGCTGATGATCCTTGAACACCTGTGAAACATGTGCCTTGGAGTATCAACCTTAATTGGTTAGGGTTATCAAGGTAGAGTTCATTGTAGACTTATGTTTTCTTTGGAGTCAGTTGGCTTCTCATTTCCCTTTCCCATTCATGACTCCCTACCCATTCTATGTGGTGGAGAGGGGCATGTTTAGGGATTAAAGAAAACTCATTCATAGAACTCCTTCAACAGGCAGAGTGTCAGACTTTCAGTTACACATGGGTTGAGATAAATTTCAAGCCTTGCCATACCCTTCTCCTCACTCTTTCTTCCACTCTTTCTCAAAACTCTACTTCTAGGCTAAATATGGTTCTTTCTCACTTTATGCTTGAGGAGCCAATTGATGTCTCAAGATAGAGGTGGTCCCGTGATTTTAAATACTTCAGCAACTACCATGGGTGGTGAAGGTGGTAGCAAATTGGCAAAATAGCCCTGGCTGCTCCAGTCAGAGTAATTCACCTCTGATATACTTCATAAATTTTAATTCCTCACATGATTTCCTTTGTAAGGGTTCCAATGTTAAAAAAAAAAAAAATTCAAAGCTAGAAATCTCTCAACAAATACAGTATGGTATTATGGGGAGAAAAACGAGGCTCAGCGAGATTGCAATAGAATATAATTAGAATTTCTGTATTGGTGATATTGCCATTATACAACGCTGGCATACATAGACGGTCTCCTGGAGAAAGTGGTTCTTAAAGTCTAGTCTTGTCTGACTGTAGAGAGGGACCAGAGTATTGATCTCAAGTTCAAGGAGGCTTACCTGGGAGGCATCACTGTCTTCACACTTGATCCTACACTCGCTGTTGAACTGGAAGCCATTGGTACACTGGTAGAGCCCATGGAACTTGGGTGGAGGTGGGTCACAAGTCACAGGAACACATGCTCCCTCCTGCCAGCTGCCATCTTGGGTACACTGTATCTTGAAGGCCCGTCTTCAGGAAGTGATGAAAGAAGAGACATCTCACTGACCAGATAGACAGACCCACGCCCTACCAAAACACTCAAGTTTTTCTGGAGCCAGCTGCCTTCTCATTTCCTTTTCCCATTCATGACTCCCTACCTGTTCTTTTGGGTGGTGAGGGACATGTGTAGGGATTAAGGAAAATTCATTCACAGAATTTTTTTAGCAGGGGCAGGCAGGAGTGTCAGACCTCTTTCTAGTTACATGCGGGTTGAGATACAATTCAAGCGCTGTCAGCCCTCTGTCCTCTCACTTTCTTCCACAGGTTCTAAGGGATGTTGGTACAATGATGATATTAATATCCACCAGTCAATGAACAACTACAATGTGCCAGGCACTTTGTAATCATTTTACATACACATCTCCATTTAATCTTCACAAGAGACCTAGGTGGCAACTGTTATTATCATCCCCATCTTGAAACTCAACCAAACCAAACCTGTTGCTGTCAAGTCGATTCTGACTCACTGCGACCCTATAGGACAGGGTAGAACTGAAAGGCCCAGAGAAGTAAAGTCACTTGCCTGAGGTCACACAGGCCGTAGGCAGCCAAGCTGGAACTTAAAGTTACTTCTGTTTGACCCAAACATAATAGTATCAGTAATGTACTTCTAACCTCCCAGAGAACAGAATAGGATGAAGGGTGCGTACTGCCTCCAGCAAAGAAATGAACACTTCCTTCCAGTCAGGCAGCCAGCCCTGGCTCTCCTCCTCCCCAGAATTCAGGAGTCTGCATTTCCAGCCCCACTTACTTTTTTGACTTCTGAGAGGAGTTGGGCACGTGGTATCCAGGCTTGCACTTGTACTTGCAGAAGGAGCCCACCTTGTGCTTATTCTCCAGGCACCGGCTGGTCTGGAGGTCTGCGTTGGGCACTGGGGGCGGAGCCAGGCACAGGAGCTCACACAGGGCCTCTGGAAAGGACCACAGCCCATCCTCCATGCAGGTCAAGAGGGTGTTGTTGCCTGGAGGACACAGGCAGGCAGGGTTAGCAGAGGGAGAGGTCTCTGATAGCCAGGTTAACTCATGGGCTGCCTGGGCTTAAGGAGGTCTGAAGAACTAGAGGAAACTCCAGGTGAAATTCCAAACCTTTCCACTTACAGTTGAGGAGGCTGGGGAAATCAAGAGAGCTGCCACAAAGAAGAGGCCCACACTGGGGGAGTGGCTTGCTTTCTATCTACTGTGAATTCAAATTCAAGCCTCCTGGCTCCTGATCCTGAACCTCCTGTGCAGCAATAGAAACAGTCCTCCACAATATAATCTATCCTCCTTGCTTTCGCGGTGGAGCATACAAGCCCAGCGAGGAAGGTACTTGCTGTCTAATAATTGGCATTGTAAGCGCCTATCAGAATCTATTCAGAGCTTCAGTATCAGTGTGCCATGTGACCTCAAGGAGCCGCTCCCACTTGGGCCCCTGTGCCCCTGTAACTACCCCAGCCCCCCTGATGCCTGCAAGTGACAGCATCGTGTCGCCTGGAGGTTTGATTTTCTTTGCAGGCCCCAGTGCTCAGTGAAGCTTTGCCAAAGCAGCTGAACGAGCAGCACTTCCCCTGCAGCCTGTGCCAGCTCTGACAGACGTGCTGATTACCATTGGGAAGCTGGCCTGATGGGGAAACTTAAGACTAAAAGTAAAACATGGGGAGTTAGGCTTTTCACTGCCAGATCGTATATTACCGAGGTCCATACTGCCCCAAACTCCCCGAAGACATTTAGAGGAGGAGCTGAAACTTGCGTTTCTCAGTCAAATTCTCCTCTTCCCACTTATTACTGAATGGTGTTGACAGCTAGGGCTGGAAGCATGTTGGAGGCTCCAGGATTTGAAGGTTGGAAGTTCTGAGGGGTAGAGTGATAGGGAGGAAGGTGACATTTATTGAGCATTTACTATGCACTGAGTGCCTTTGAAATGTCATCTCATTTCTTCTGACAACTAATAGTGAGATAAGTGTGACAATTTCTACTTGGAAACGGAGGCTCACAGAAATAAAGTGACTTGCCCAAGTTCTCACAGTTAGTAACAGACAATACTGGGATTCGAAAATAAACCAAAACCTGTTGCCTGTCAAGTTCATTCCGGCTCATAGCGACCCTATAAGACAGAGTAGAACTGCCCCATAGGGTTTCCAAGAAGTGGCTGGTGAACTTGAACTGCTGATCTTTTGATTAGCAGGCGAGCTCTTAACCACTGCACCACCAGGGCTCAAAACTCATTTTGTATAACTACAAAGGCAGTTGTTTTTCATGAGAAGTTGGCTCTACCTGCTCAGCAGAGTGTGTTATCCATTCTGGAAGAGTCACACCTCAACTTTCCTATCTGAAGAAAGAAAACAATTGCTCCTTCTTTTCAGAATGGATCATTGAGAAGATTAAATGAAAGAACATTCATACGTCCAGAAAAGTGCTGTGCATTTCCTTGTTTGCTTCTTAACTTCCTTCCTTTCACTTTCCTTCCTCCTTCCTCCCTTCCTTTCCTCCTAACCTTTTACCTTCACCAGCAGATTTGTAAGGACTATGGAAGTTGAAGTCTTTAGTCATCCAACAAGCACTTATTCAGCGCTTACTGTATGCCTGGTACTGTTTGGTATGTTGGTGTCAAAGCAGTGAACAAAACCAATAAAACCTCTGCCCTCTTGAAGCTTATATTTTAGTGGGATAGAGAGACACACAAATTATACTGAGAAAGCAGATGATTTGGTGTGTTATAAGGTGGTAAATGCTATGGAGAAAAATAAAGCAGGATAAGGAAGAAAGAAAGGAGAGAGAGTAGTTTGCAATTATATGCTGGCTCCTCTTCTTCTCTTATCCCTCTACATTTTCTTCTTTTTCCACCTTTTGGAGTGTGATTCATATGATGAGGACAAACCCGTTTGTCTGTAAACCCTGAAGAGGCTTCTATGTGGATAAACTGTGATACTGCAAACTACAGCTACTTCTACAGCTAGTGAAAGCAGCAAAAGTATGGAAGGGTGATTCATCTGGCTTCCAGAGAAGCAGACAGGCTTCCAGAACACCAGAGACTACAGGCTTCTTTTCACACTGCGCTTGCAATCTGGGCATTGCTTTGGGGTGCTCAGGCCCAGCATTAGCTTAGTGGGAAGGGGAGCTGTAAAAGATATGGGGAGCACATCCTCAACAAGTCCCCCAAGAGGGATAAAATATCTGTAGAAAAAGTGTTGAGACTCTTAAAAAAAATCCCATATCAGCTATGCAAATGCTAAATCGTGAAATGAAAGTTCTTTTGTGGCAGAATAATGTAAAGAATTGCAAAACATTAATCAAGAGAGACAAGGCAAACCAGGAATGGAAAATCTGGGAGAGGCTGAGTAGGAGTTAGCAGCATGCCACAGTCAAGAGAAGAACCAGCAGTAACTGGTGATTCAGGACCATGGACATGCCCTCTTCATCCCCACCCCCACAACAAAGCAAATGCAGGAGGTGTAGACACTAAACTGTGCAGAATCAGTATTACCATGCGCCAGCTATAGCCACTACTCTGCATCCACCACGTGGCTCTGAAGAAAGTAGGGTATGACAGATGCTGTCTATGCCCTGCCCTTATCACCTTGGCATTCACCACTGTACTCTGAAGGCTGTTCACTGCACCTGAACTCTCTGCCTGAGGCCTTTCTTTCTGGTCATGGATGCATGCCCAGCCCACACACGGGGCAAGCTGAAAGTACTGAGGAGTTAATGCCCCTGGAAGTAGCACTCAGCAAATCATGGAGTTGGTGGATAAACATACCAGTTTTTAGAGTTGGAATATCTCTGAGGAGTATTTTACACTGTCTCCCAGCATTCCCCTAGAGGGATTGAGCTCTAGTTGCCCCCCAGTGGCAAGTGGCTTTAGAGTAGATCTTTATTGGCTTTTATTGACTCCATGTCTCCCTTCCCCACTAACTACCAGTGTTTCCTGGGGAACGTGACTCAGGACATAGGTGAAGGTGTTTCTGAGCTTGGGATTCTCGGTAGAGGCAAAAGTGCTAATGTTAGAGATTAGGTTCCAACATACCTGAGTATAGGCTCTGCTCCTAAAATGTTATATGCCCCTGTACCTTCATTTGTTCATCTTTTAAAGTCAGGAAAATTAATATTGCTCAATCTGTCTACAAATGTGGTAAGAGATTTCATTCTCTAATGAGCAATAAAATGATTTGTAAATTGTAACATTTAAAAAAAATAGATGCACCTATTTTTACTATTTTACTTTAAAATTACCCAGATGAATAAATTTCTCTAAGAGTCCCTTTAAGACTGAAATTAACGAAGAGCAGGACACAAGGAGGGAAATGTCAGGAGACGTAAGATCTGGCTTTCCTAGAACTTGCCACATTGTGTTGGCACTGCCCAGTTTATGTGGCCAGGGACTGCATCTTATTCATTCTTAGTGCCTAGAACATACAACCAGTTGCCACTCCATAAAAACCAAACCAAACTCATTGCCACTGAGTCCATTCCAACCCATAGTGACCTGATAGGACAGAGTAGAACTGCCCCATAGGATTTCCAAGGAGCAGCTGGTGGATTTGAACTGCTGACTTTCTGGTTAGCAGCCAAGCTCTTAACCACTGCGCCACAAGGGCTCTCCGTAGTAAATATTAAATGCACCCAACATAGCGGAGTTGAGTTGAGGTTGACTAGATGATATAATGTTGCATTTTTAGCCACTTAATTAAACCTTTGTGATTTTGATTTTAAAGCTTTCTTTTTTTGAATTTGAGAGGTTTTATCCCTCATATTTTTTGGTAGGTTCTACTTGTGCTTGTAGTACATATTTGATAAAGAATCTTGGCAGACATGACTCTAAGGCTGTGAGTGCTCAGAATTTTTGCATACATCTGGAAGAGGACTTGGAATTCAAGTGCAAGTTGGGAGAGTCAAGAAAAGTTCACCTGGAATACAAGAGGCAAGAAGGCTTGCGGTGCTACCTGTCTTACACAAGGTTTCCAGGGGCTACTATTTGTCCTGGATGGTCACTGTTCTTCAAAGGGCACTGACCTCCATGGGCCTGAGAGGAACACGGAGGTTGAAGTATATCTCCACATCTCCCCCCACCAAGTCCTCCATAGGGCAAAAAGGTCAGTGGCTGAGTATCTTAGTTATCTAGTGCTGCTATAACAGAAATACCACAAGTAGATTGCTTTAACAAACAGATATTTATTCTCTCACAGTTTATGAGGCTAGAAGTCCAAATCAGGGTGCCAGCTCTAGGGAAAGGCTCTCTCTCTCTGTCGGTTCTGGGGGAAGGTCATTGTCATCAATCTTCCCCTGGTCTAGGAGGTTCCCAGCACAGGGACCACAGGTCCAAGGGACATGCTCTGCTTCTGGCACAACTTTCTTGGTGGTATGAGGTCCCCATGTCTCTCTGCTTGCTTCTCTCTTTTATATCTCAAAAGAGATTGACTCAAGATACAACCTAATCTTGTAGATTTGAGACCTGCCTCAGTAACATAACTGCTGCTAATCCCACCTCATTAACATCATAGAAGTACGATTTGCAACACATAGGAAAATCACATCAGATGACAAAATGGTGGACAATCACACAACACTGGGAATCATGGCCTAGCCAAATTGACTCACATTTTTGGGAGACAAAATTCAATTCATAACATTGGGTGATCAGCCATCACACAGGTCCTCACAAGGGCATGCTTTGGAGAAAATAAGTATTTACTATGTTCTTACTTTGGCTCTAGGTTTATATCGGTCATTTCTTTTAATCCTCAACTGACCCTTCAATGTATGCACTTGTAAGCCTACTTTACAAATGAGGATATTGAGGCTCATAGATGTGAATTTTCTTACCTAACACCAAACAGTGGGTAAGGGGCAAAGCCAGAAATGGGACACCAGTCTCTCTGATTCCATAGCTGGTGCTGTTTTTGCTTAAACCATGCTGCAGGGAAAAGAAAATTTAAGACTGGAAGGGAAGAAAGGGGGGCAAAAAAAAATAATTAAGAAAAAAAGTTGTTTTGATCACTGTCTGGATTGAATTGTGTTCCCTAAAAATATACGTATCAATTTGGCTGGGCCACACTTTCCACTATTGTGTGATTGTCTACCATTTTGTCATCTGATGTGATTTTCTTGTGTTGTAAAGCCTATCACTATGATGTTAATGAGATGGATTAGCGGCAGTTATATTGATGAGATCTACAAGATTAGATAGTGTCTTAAGCCAGTCTCTTTTGAGATATAAGAGAGAGAAGTGAGCAGAGAGACATGGGGACCTCACACCACCAAGAAAGCAGCACTGGGAGCAGAGTGTCCTTTGGACCTGAGGTTCCTGCACTGAGAAGCAACTAGACCAGAGGAAGACTGATGATAAGGACCTTCCTCCAGAGCCGACAGAGAGAGAAAGCCTTCCCCTGAAGCTGGAGCCATGAATTTGGGCTTCTAGCCCACTAGACTGTGAGAGAATAAGCTTCTGTTTGTTGAAGCCATCCACTTGTTGTACTTCTGTTATAGCAGCACTAGATGACTAAGACAATCACCTCTTTACCTCCTGGTTTGAAAAGAGGGGCAAAGAAGCATTAATAAGCTCAAGAGAGAGTTAGCAAGACTTTTTCCTAGTCTTTGCTACAGGATATCTAGGCAAAAGCCTCAGACCTGAAATTTGTGCATCAGATGGAGCTCAGGACCCAGTTGCATGAAATGTCAATTGGTTCTAGTGGATGAATGTGGCAACTTGTATTTTGAAAGGAAAAGCAAAGTTGGGATCAATAACAACTAACAAAATGATGTTCCTTCTGGGGCTTCATCTACACAATAGGGGTCACACCCCCTCCCGCCACAGTCAGCAGAGAAGCAATGGCAGAAGGGTCTGAATCACTTTGATTAAGAATTATTATTAGCCACAATGAGGGCTGTAATAATCAATGCTAATTTATACCCTCTCTTTCCCAAGGGCCTCTGATTGAGAGGAGAAGCATGATTTCCTAGTCTGGAGTTATTAATACACCCTACATCTGGGCAAATGGGGCTGAGAGAAGGACTCAGATGGCCTGGAAGTTGGAGAGTTTACAATTCCACTGGTCACATCATCTCCCTCTGATCTAAATCCTTACAGCACTCAAATGAAATATCTAAAGCTTTTTATTCAAATTTTCATAGGTTAAAAACGAGGGGACGCAAGGGATGTACCGTATTTTTACACAAATAACATGCACCTTCTATGTTTGTTTGTCAACCGTGCCCTCCCCGAGCGAGGTATTTTCATAAGCGCCACTATGCCAATTTTTTTTACATGTTTCTTTAAAAAAAATTAACATAGCATACTTATGAAAATACCTCACGGAGGGGAGAGCACGGTTGGCAAACAAATGTAGAAGGCACGTGTTATTTGTGTAAAAATACAGTATATTGGAAATGTTTCCTTCCTTTCTTTGGGGGCAGTTTAATGGCATTAATGAGTCTTTCATTCATTTTTTAAAATAAACATTTACTGGGTGTTTCTTTCCTTCACCAATTCATCCAGCCAGCCAGTCAATACATTTTACTGAATCTTACTGTGTTCCAAGTCCTATGCTTGCTGACAGAACATATAAAGGGACTAGACACAACCGTGAACTCAAGAGACTCACAGTCCAGTATGGGTTCCAAACCTTTTGTAGTCTTGGGGTCCATTTGAAAATCTGATGAAATTATTGGTCTCTCCAATCCCCTAAATGCTCAAAACTCAGGAAATTCATAGATCTCTTTCCTACCTTTCAGAAGCCCACTCACGCACACCCTACAGAATGATAGACCCCAAGGTGAGCGCTCATGCTCAAGTGAGATAGTATTTTTGGTATTTGATAAAGAGGCAATGTTGCCCCTGACAAAAAAAGCTAAGGAGAGGGTTCTGGCGCCTCTGAGAATTGTGTAGAATGTGGGAATCTAATGCTTGACTAGAAATCAGAAGCATTCATCCTAATAATGCCACCAATTTGCTGTGTGATTTTGTACGAGTTTCTTCCTCTCACTGGCCCTCAGTTTTCCCATCTTTCCAATGATCCAGTTAGTCTTGATAAGCTCTAAGGACACTGCCAGTTCAGACATTCTAAGATTCCCAGGCCAGCCTCTTACTCACTTCCAAAATGTGGCCTCTTCTCCAACATGCCAGACTATGTTTTATTCAGTTCCATATTTCTAGTGCCTATCCCAGGAGGATACCACTAAATGCTTCCAGTCCACATCTGCTCCTCTCTCCCCAGCTAGCCCTTCTTAAGGACTAGCAGTTGGCTTTGGAGAAAAACAGACCTGGCTTCCAGTGCGGACTCCACCACTTAGTAATAGTGCAGCCTTGGGCAAGTTCTTTAAACTCTCTGAGGTTCAGTTTCCTCCTCTGTGAAAAGGGGACTAATATTAACACTTATCTCTTAGGCTTACTGGGCTCTAATCATACACAGAGAACTAGTCACCTCAGTTCCAAATGTTACTCTCTTTTCATTTTCTTTGTCTCCCTATTTCTTTCTTTGTCTTTTCTTCCTTGCAAAGTTTCAAAAGATCTTGGAGGGAGATTTCACTGTCATCTCTGTCTACACTCTACTTTTTTCTTAGTTGCACAGCAGGGCAGTTTCCATACATACACTTGGTGGAAACAAATCAGAAGCACGTATAAAACCCCATCTAAACCTCAGTGTTTGGGGCCCAGAAGGAAGGCCTGGAAACAGTCTCTTGGCTTCCCACAAAGAAGCAGGCCTGGCCAAGTCAAAGGGCCCCAGTACCTTTCAACTGCGCGGGGTGACGGCACTGGAAGGAGCACTGGCTGCCAAAAGTGGTACCCTCTAGGCAGGAGAAGGTGGCGGCGTACACAAGGTACTGGTCTGGGACCCCGCAGTCCACTGGCTCACACGCCACCTGCTTGTTCCACTTGCCTTCGGTGCAGGTCACTGTGACGCTGGGTCCTGTCTGAAAGGCAGATATGGGCACAGTGAGCGGTGTCAGACTGAGCCCCAGATGTGGGGAAATGCCCTTGTTCCCTAGGCTATGGCTCAGAGTCTTGTCCAGGCCCCAGTAGACCAACGCTTAGTGCTTAACTTTAGTTTATCTCTAATGATCCCAACAAATGTATGCATTAGGTATTTTGGTTCCCGTTTTACAGATGTGGAGACTGAGTCTCAGAGATATTGAATAATTAGCCCTGAGTTACAAAGCTGAAAAGAAGCTAAGGGGAAACTGAACCCAAAGTCTATCCTCTCAACTATTACCTATAGTTTTCCAGGTTACTACTTCAATTTTATTGTTGACAATCTTGACACCCAGAGACCTCACAGGGTGTGAGGTTTAGACTCTGAAACACGGTACAACTGTAGGGTACTTTGCATCTTTGTATTTTTTCTTGGCTCTAGAGGAGGTTACCGGAGCCAGTTGTAGTGTTTGGAACAGAGTGGGCATCGCTCTGGGATACAGGAGACCTGGATGCTTCTCCTCTGTGCTGTGAGACCACGGTTAAGTTCCTTTCCTTGTGTTATTTCCCCCATTGTTAAATGGGTAGATTAAACCCAAGGATTGCTCGAATAGCTTCTCCCTGCCTTGGGGTTTGATGGTTCAGTAGTCAAGAGAGGTAGACGTGAAGAAGGAACAAGGCTAGAAAAAGTGAAAGGAGAGACGGATGTACACCAAACTAGCAGATGATAGTGCTGCGTGGGTGGGAGGGTGAAGCCACACGATGGAGCCAAGGGAGGGACAGTCATCAGCAGCCTAGAGGCTTCCATTCAAGGAGAAGACCACCAAATCCCAAGGGACAGGGGATGCCAAATGTTAATCTGGGATTTTAAAAGCAGAGGACGTCTTTCCCCTCTTAAGCACACATCAAAAGGAGTAGAGGTCCCTCACTGCCAAAGCGACCTAATTGTTTCCACAGGAGTTCAGACCTGCCATGTCTGATGCATGGCAGGTGTCTAAGAAGAGCAGTCGAGGGCCCCAGAGCTCCCAAATGGGAAGCCAGTCAAGCCCAGAAGCTGTGTATAAATAGGCATTCCCAGCAACAAGGAATGTACCTTGTATGCTTGGTAGCATGGAGGCGAAGTCTTCTGGCTGGGCCCCGGAGAAGGCTGCATCTAATGACAGAGCTCTGGAATCCTAAAACCTCAGGACTGAAAGAGCCCTTAAACTGCTTTCTTGTCCCACTGCCCCATGTCCCACCTGAGACCTCACAGCAACATCTGTCTGAAGCAACATTCAGCCACATCTCAAATCCACTCACTGACACCACCCTTGCTCAGGACATATTCCCTCTTCCATGGATGCCTTTGATGACCTCCCGAGGGGACTCCCTACTGCCTGTTTTACTGCTGGACTGTAATCAACTCCCAAATGGCACAGCCAGAAGACCCTTTGTCAACCATGATCCGACAATGTCGCTTCCTTCAACAGCTCCCTGTTGCCCTTAAAATCAACTCCAAACATCCTGACCAGGCTGATGTGTTCTGCACTAGTGGTCCCTGCTTACTTTCCCAGCCGTACCTCTTGGTGATGTCAGGGAGAAAAAATTCTCTGGCTACGGTAGCACTTTCTCATCAATAGGCTTCCACGTACTGTTCCTGCCTGTGTCCAGAACACATATTCCTTCCCTCTCTCCTCTCCACCCCTCCCAACACACACTCTTTTGCCTATCTATCTAGTTCTCAGTTTTCATGTTGCTTCTTCCAGGCAGCTTTCTTGAAGTCCCTCTGTACTTAGACAGTACCTTGTACTTCCCTTTATAGTGTTTATCGTACTGTGAGGTCATTACTCACTAATTGCCTCCCCCCTTCTCTTAATGTCTTAGTGACATTCTTTTCTCTAGCAGCTAGTACAGTGCCTGGTTCACAGTGAACAGATGCTTTGCAATGAATGAACCCTTCACTGACAGAAGGCTCACCTCTTCCTAAAGCAGTCCATTCAGTTGTGGCACGGTTCTGACTGTAAGGATTTTATTCCAAAATGTTTGGGCCCATGGTATTCCAGATTTGCATCCTACACAAAGACTTGATCTATCTGTTTATCTATCGATCAATCTATCTGTCTGTCTGTCTACCTACTACCTATCTATCCACCCATCCATCCAACTATCCACCCAACCATCCATCACGCCCCCAACCACCCAACAGCCCATCCATCCATCCATCCATCCATCCATCCATCCATCCATCCATTCATCTAATCATTTATTCTAAAATATTTATTGAGCATCTGCTACGTGACAGCACTATTCTAAGCACTGGGGATTTAGTAGAGAACAGATCGACACCTGGTCAGCCTTCCTTTGGCTACAAAGGGGCTCTGATCCCAGCACCTGCACACACCTGGCTCTTGATCAGCTCATCATCCCGCTGTATCTGGAGCACGTAGCCTGTCCGACATCTCACAGTACACTTGGTACCATGGTAGCGGTCAATGCTGGAGCAGTTGAGAGAGGCATTCTCCACAGCTAGCTCTGGGCAGTCAGCAGCCTCACAGGCGAAGTGCACACAGCTGGGGAGGGAAGAAACAAGAGGGTAAGAGAGAGTTTTCTCAGCAGGACGGTTGGTCTCCAACTGATCTATGAATGCTAAGGGTCTCTCTGTCCAAAACTTTAGGGGGCTCAGACTGAGAAGTAAAAGGGGAACTGGCTTGGGCAAAGAAGACTCTGGAGGCATAGTTAAAGTTTGTCATTAAGAGCAAAAACCAGGGTTCAAATCCTACCACTTGACAACCTAGTATGTTATTAAGCTTCAATCCTTTCAGGGCCTCAGTTTTTTCATATGTGAAAATGGGATCACGATGATAACAAGTATTTATTACACTTCCTCTCTACCAGGCACTAAGTTGAATGACAGCCTCTCCATATTTTATAACAGAACCCACTTTCAAGGGACATTGTGAAAATTAAATTAGACAGTTTAGGAAAAGCACACAGCAGAATCCCTGGCACATACTAAGCACTCAATAAATAGTAGCTAATGTTCTGAAACCACCACCCATCTCTCAGTTTGTCATACTGTGGTGGCTTGTGCATTGCTATGATGCTGGAAGCTATGCCACCAGTATTTCAAATACCAGTAGGGTCACTCACAGTAGACGGGTTTCAGTGGAACTTCCAGACTAAGACAGACTAGGAAGAAAGGCCTGGAGATCTACTTCTGAAAATTAGTCAATAAAAACTCTATCAATCAAAACAGAATGTTATCCGATATAGATGATAATCCTCCTTGGCTGGAAAGCACTCAGAATATACAGCGTCCGCAACAATGGACCGGAGCATACCAATAACCATGATGATGGCAAAGGACTAGGCTATGTTTCATTCTGTTTTACAAGGGGTCACCATGAGTCCGAGCTGACTTGATGGCAACTAACAACAACAGATGTTATCAATAAGTCTCAGCTCTGTTACCTGGAAGCTGTGTGACCTTGGGCAAGTACCTCTCTGAGCATCAGTGTACTCTCAAAAAATTCTGCCAACATCATGGAGCCATGAAACTCAACTGAGGTGATAGATGTGGAAGTTCTTTATAAACTGCAAAGCGATTTACAAATGGTTGGTAAAGTGGCACAGAGAACATGCATTGCTTCTTGCTACAGCTCCTGTTCCCTCCTCTGCCAACGTGAATTCTTCCAATCCTTCAGTCCAAGCTATATGTAAATTTCTATAGGAAGCATGCCCTTGTTTCCCCAGGTGAGCTCCCTCGCAGGTAATCTACTCTCCTTTCTCTAACAATGTTGCTTCATGCTTCATGTATGGAAAACATAGGTTCTGGATACCTACCATGTGCTGGAATGTGTGCTAATACTTATGTATGCAAACAGAAACATGTTCCCTGTGCTTGGATGCTCTCTCCCATTATATTATAGTTATGCAGATACTCAGTAACATTAGTTACTATTCACAGCTTGCTTATATACATGAGCTCACTCCATTTCACAACAACCCTATGAGCTAAGTGTTACTCATTTTACAGTTGGAAAAATTGGGGCTAAGCGAGATCAGGTTACCTTGTTTAAGTGTGCATAGCTAGTTGGTGGCAGAACTGTAATTCCCACCCAGATGTGGGACTCCAAAGTCCTCGTTGTTAACCCCACTTCACACTCCTGGACTTGAACTTCCTTGAGGGTAGAGATAATGCCTGTTTCGTCTTTGTACACTTCGCAGTGTCAATAAAAATATCTTGCATAGTAGATGTTTCCTAGATAGCAATAAATACGTAGTGCCGATGTCTTGCAATAGCTCTTAAGCATTTCTAGAGGTTGAGGCATTGTTTCCTAACACTGAAAGCTTCTGGGGGACCGTTCTATAACTTTTGCCCCTCTGCCTGTGTCTAACCCAACACCTGGCATATAGTACATACACGATGGAGATACCTATATTTGCATCCAGAGCCTCAAGGATTTTATTTTTCTGTTTCTGTCTAGGAAGCAGGCACTAATTGGTGGTCTGATCAGCTTAAGAAGAAATTCCCAGTTTTGTCTTGGTACCAGTTTCAGGATTCCCCAGGAAGCCTGGTTACTCTTCTCCATGCTCTACCATCTGCTAAAAGCATGGCGAGGAATAAGGGGGGTGGGGCTGGGGAGCTAAAAGCCTCCAAAACACATCAGACACAAAGTCACGTTTGTAAAATACCTCCCCCGCAAAAGACAAGCATTTAATTTAGGTCTCAGACCGGCACTGAGGTGGGCTTTACGCTCCCCTCTCTGCTCCTTCTGAAATGCCAGACAACAAGGGTTAAGTAACACTTCTTTAGATCTTCCTACTCTCCCTCCTCTTCCTGCGCCTGACAGCCTCAGCATTGCGCCACGTGGAGACCTCGAAGAGGCCATAACTCTGGAGTCAACGCAAGGGCTCTGACACCAAACAATGCATCTGTTCACGTTGTGTAAGCACTGGGGGAAAGAGCCACATGGTTCCAATTTAAACAGATTTACTCTGTAAGCTACCAGCTTCCAAGCTGGTTTTCTGACCTTTGTCTTACAGTTTGGTCATTCTCATTCTGCACTCCCAGAAGGCACCTGGGCTCCCGTCTTATGACGACCCCAGGGGCTCTGGGAGCCCTTGGGAAAGATGACTTTTAAGGTCAAAGAGGGCCCTCTCCAGTTGTTCTGTGCACGTGAATGTTGTTCTTCATAGGAAAAGGATAAACTGAAAAACTTCATTTCCCAGAATGGGAAGATCACAGGGCTTAGCAGTCCAGCAAATTCAGGTTCCTGCCTCAGCTCTGCCATTTATCTGTTGTTTGACCTTGGAAAGTTATGTAACAACCTGAGGCTCGGTTTCCTCATCTGTAAAGTGGAAACAATAATACGGTTTATCTCTCAGGATCATCAACAGAGTGAAATGAGAAGTCATTTGTTTATCCATTCAACAGACCTTGACTGAGTACTTTACTGTGTACCAGTCACTGCTGTAAACACTGGGCATACAGCAACAGAGAGGACATATAAGGTTCCTGCCATCCTGTGTATTTGAGGAATGAGGACATGCGTCACATAAAAGTAATAAATAAAACCAGTTCAGGTAGAGATACATAAAGGTACTAAAACAAGGTAAAATCATAGAGGTGCCTGTTGTGGGGGAAGAATACTTTATGTAGAGGGGTCTGCGGAAGGCTCTATAAGGAAGGAACGTCTGAACTAAGACCTGGATGAAATGAAGAGATCAGCCATACAAAGCTTTAGGGCAGAGAGGGTCCCCAGGCAGAGCAAAGGGCAGGTGCAAAGGCCCTGGGGCAGGACTGTAGCTTGGTGTGTTTGTAGAACAGAAAGGCCAATGTATGAGAAAATGTTTCGGAAACTGTGAGGCGCTATGAGAAGATGGTCTTTCTACTCTGGCTCTTTCTGCTATGAAAGGAGAATACTCCCTGGTCATGATTAGGCAATTAATTAGACCAGTGTTCCCCATGGAGCCCTGATGGCACTGTGGTTAGGTGTTTGGCTGCTAACCCAAAGGCTGGCAGTTCAAATCCATCAGCCACTCCTTGGAAACCATATGGGGCAGATCTATTCTGTCCTATAAGGTTGCTATGAGTTGGAATCAACTTGATGGCAATGGGTTTGGTTGTTTTGGTTTGGCGTTCCCCATAGAATGTTCATGGGAGTTACCTGAAAAAAAGTTCCATGGTCAAATGACTATGGGTGGTATTGGGTTAATGAGATCAATGAGCTTTCTTTATTGCAGAATTTCTCAGAACCGTGAATATTCCAATGCACATGTGAATTTCTAGAAGGGACTAAGGTGCACATCATTTTCCAAACTTTTTTCAGGAAGGATTTCTTAGGACTAAGGTCTTGCAAAACACACTTTGGGGAGGGAGACATCCCTGCGTTTTCAGTACATCTGTCTGCATCTGGCTTGTTGGTTCAGAAACAGGAAGGAAAGGGGGAAGGGAAGTAATATGTGCCAGGTGTTGGCCACTGTGTTTTACTTACATCACCTTACTGCATCCTCACAGTAACACCTGGAGGTATTATTATCACTCCCATTTTCAAGGGGAGGAGACTAGGGCTGAGAGAGTTTAAACTGCTTGCCCAAAGTCACTCAGCTTGGACAGAATACCAATGCAGATCTGTCCGTCTATCCTCTAAGTCCCTGCTCTTTCCTTTGCTAGTTGAAAAGAGTTGTGTGAATGCGCCATCCAAAAATGATAAACATTACTCCAACTGCCCCTCCCAAGTAACTCTGACACAGCCCTGTCATTTCTGAAACACAAAAACAAAAATCAAAACAAGGAAAACAAAACAAAATGAAAGCCATTAGCTTCAGAGAGAGAGACAGAAGGATTTAATGCTAGTTGTGGACAGTCAACTAAAAAAAACAAAAGAAGAAATACATTAAGACATTTCTCTGACAGGAGGAAGGTGGTTGGTGGAGGGATGGGAGAAGGGACACGAATAATTTTATCGATCAAATTCTTACACCTGGGCAAAGGTGGAGACCCCCCGCCCCCGCCGGATGCTGAACTAGTCAGATATTTATGCATTTTCTTTTTTTCTATTTTTTAAAATATATTTACTTACAGACTCAAGTTTCGTTTGGAGGTAGTTCCTTACATGATCAGACCGTCAACCCCCAACTGCCGCCCGCACTGTCAATTCAAATGGACTCCAATCATGTATAAGAGAGAATAATGGGGCAGTACTTGAACCAGGCTAGAGAAAGCCAGAAGTTAAAAAGGCTGGTGAGGGCTCTTTTCCTAGTTCTGCCCCTTGACTCATGGCTTGAACTCCTGTGGTCTGCCACTTAGCTGCAATTATGCCATGTGGCAGGGGAGATAATAACAGGCAGGTTGTTTATAAATCATTCTGGGCTGCTCAGATGGGGACAACGAAAAAGACAGTATGCTCCAGGCTAGAAAATGAAGGGAAAAAATGCTCTTGGCATTAACACTGAAAGATCACTTGGGAAGTGAGACCGAGAGTTACTGTTAGGAGCTCATTTTTCTGTTTGGAAAGGAGACTTCCAGGGAAGTGATCCATAAAGACTCTTCTATTTGGAATTTTAGGAGCCAATGGTGTAACAGGACAGTCTGGGCAAGATTCTGTAGGATATGGATGCAAGCTCAACAGCCTGCAGAGACCAGGCAGGCCCCTTACAAGGCAAGGTGGGATGAGTGGGATGTGCCCTGTGGGAGTGTTCAGCCAAGGCAGCAGCAGCAAAACCCTCCAGCCAGAGGTGGCCTAGTGGGGCTGAGGGCCTAGTGTTTTCAGATCTCCTGATTTCTTTAAGAGGAGGGAGAATTCTGTTTTGTAATGTGAACTCTTTCGATATTCAAATGTTGACAACTAATTAAAGAAAATAATTACCAAAAAAACCCGTTGTGATCAAGTGGATTCCAACTCATAACGACCCGATAGGACAGACTAGAAGCGTCCCGTAGGGTTTCCAAGGAGCAGGCTGGTGGATTTGAACTGCCGACCTTTTGGTTAGCACTGAGCTCTTAACCACTGTGCCACCAGGGCTCCAAAAAAGATTATTAGTGAGGGGCAAACAAACCAAAAGCATTTGTGGTCTAATCCGGCCTATCAGAAACTTGTTTTGAAACGTCAGATGAAGAGGAGAGAGCTTTGCTCTGAAAGTCCTGAGAATAGGATTCAAATGTTGGTTTTGCCTCTGACTTGCTGAGTGACTTTAGGCAACCCACTTCTCTTGTCTGGACCTCAAATGAGGATGCAGAACTAGAGTATCTCTTGGTGCCCTCCCAGTTTTCATGTGGCACAGTTTCATGAGGACAGGACAACAGAAGTATATAATTTCAGAGCCTCTTGGATTGGAAGAAATTGAGTGTGATAATCCCACATATTGACAGGGATATGGAGCAACAAGAACTCAGATAGATTGCTGATGAGGTGGGAGTGGAACAGCATCTCGGAGAATGGTAGAACAGCCAGGCAGTATCCAGTACAATTGAAGATGCACATATACTTAGACACTGCCGTTCCATTTGCAGGTCTATCCCTCAGATCTGAGATCGCCAATGACTTGTCAAGAGGCGCTGATCCCTTCGCAGGCAGGGGAAGTTGGGTGAAGTTGTGGGCAGCAACCTGAAAACCTTGGTCTCTGGCCATGAGCAGCCTCATTCTGGGTTCCAAATTTCCTCCATTTACCCCAATGTGCCACACAAATATTGTCATTTTCTATATGTGTCATGACATGAATGAGTTTGGGAGGTAGCTCTAGAGAAACACCCAGACACATACAAGATACACACAAGATTGGATCCTGGCGATAAAACAGAAACCACTTAGATTTCTCTCAATAAGGAAAGGGATAAATTCCTATATATTCATGCAATAGAATATTCCACATCTGAAGTCCTATCGGTGCACAGACTCTATAATGCCAGACTCCAGGCTGTGGGCACCCCCAAACCACAGCCTAAGTCTACTCAGCTGAAGGAATTAATCTAGCCACATAAGGAATTAGTTTCCCACCAATGTTGGGCTTCTAAAAGTTAGCTATCAGACAACTGCCTCTCTCTGGATGGGATAGCATGTAGAAAGTGAAAAGGGTTTAAGATAGAGGAAGAGTGCAAAAAATAAAATGGGTGGAAGAAAGGAAAAAAGCAAGCAAGGAAGGAATAAAGGAAGGGAGAAAGGAAGGGAAGGAGGGAAGTAGGAGGGAAGGGAGGAAAGAAAAAAGGAAGGAAATACTTTTTCCAAGCACATGGCTCATTGAATTTTATAATAAACTGTTCAATTGTTGTTTAGAACCACAAGGGTGGATTGAGGTGATATGTGTGTGAGAGAGAGAGAGAGAAATACTGGAGCCTCAGTATCAGGGCTGCTGCTTTTCTCATTGAAGAAGCCTTAACCACCCCCTGCACCATCACCACCATCACCACCATTACTATGGCCCCCCACCTTAGCCTCTCTCCCCAACTCTGGGTTGAGCTCAGATTTGGCTAGATTTCCACAACTGAACCTCTCATTTGAAACCTGATCCTGTTTTCTTGGGCCTCTGAATTCCTACCAAGTACTGCACAGGGACCAGAGACCCTCGAATCTAGGTCAGAATACAGCAACTGAATTGATTTTGGTGTGGCGATGCTTCTCCCACGGCAGCCCACTAGGAATCACACTGCTCTCAGCAGAAGAGGAGGAAAATGAGGAGGAGAAAAGAAGTGAGGGAGGAGTGGAGGAGGAGAAAGAGGGGAGGAAGTGCAGAGGGAGGGAGAAGAGAAAGCAAGAAGAATGGAGGGGGAGGAGAAAGGGAGGGGTTGGAGGGAGCAGAAGAAGGGGTGTGGGTGGGAGTGGGAGGAGGCGGAGGGGAGCAACAGCACCTTCCACTACCTTCGAAACAGCCGGAAGTAAGCCAGAATGTTTCTACTACCATCTCTGATGTGTGCCATAAAACGGGATGCTATTTACCATGGTGTTTTGAGGATGAAGAAAAATAACCCATGGCTTTTACCATTGTTGCTTATTTTCCTGTCCTTTCCTCTTGGCTTGCTTGTTTTAAAGTATTTACACATTTGCAGAGTCCTGCCTGTTTAGGTAAAAGCCTTAACCCCAAGAGCAGCTGCTGGCCTTTCCCCAGGGGCATTCAGGGCAGCTTGTCCTAACTTGGTCCAAGCTCAGGGTCGAGCCAGCCAAAGCCCAGGGCTATGCATACGTCACTTCGCCCAGAGCTTCACTGACGAAAGGCTCACATGTGAGCAGTCGTCAAAATCCCTCTTCTTTCCTAGGCATGCCTGGCTCTGGAGGGCAGAGCGTGGCTTTTAGGGCCAGACCAAGCAGGGTGTTGCCTCTCACTACCTGGGTGACCTTGACTTCTTCACTCTGCCTCTCTGAGCCATGCCTCACAGGTCTGCTGTGATAATGAATAAGATAGTGCTCCTATCAGAGGCTCAACAAATGTGGGTCCTCCCCCTTCCCTCCCACCCCTCCTAGCTTTTGGGAACCACAGACTGTTAGAACTGGAAGGAACCATAGAGAACATTCAATTCAACATCATCCTTGATAGATGGGGAAACTGAGTCTTGGAGAGGGGGAGTGACTGACACACAGTTGCCCAAAGAGTCAGACAGGGCAATGTTTTGCCCAGTTCAGTGTTCCTCCCACAATGAGTCAAATACCTCAATAGATACTTTATTGATGGTCTTATTTCAGAGGTGAAACACTTCTTACTATTTACTTAGGGCACGAGAACTATTAAAAATTAATAATCCAAGCAAGACAGTACTGGTCTTAGTGAACTTGTGGATAGCAGGGAGGGCTGGTGAAGGATCGGAAAGCATTGCAGAAAAGGTCTGATGGATTTGCATTTTTCATTGACATTGTTTCCCTGGGTTCTGAGAATTGACTTATTTTTATATACTCAGGAGAGCCAGGGATGAAAAAGCCCTCTTAGAGTGAAATATAACAGTGAGTGATATTTAAGGAGCTCTTTTTGCCTCGGAATGATTGCAACAGACTTTGCACAACAGAGGCCAGAGACAGCGGGTGCAAAACAATGTGGATTTTGCAACCCCATTTTCTGTCCTCTGTGGTAGCAGAGGCATGGGAAAGGCTGGTGCCCCAACCCCAACACCTCTTCCCTCTCCTTGCCCCAGGTGCAGTGGGCAGGGCTGAATTGCCTTTCAAATGGCCTCACTCTGCGGGGAGGCCACAACCTTTTCTTTCTCCTTCTGAATCTCATTAAAGGTGAGAGATGCTGTGCAACCCTGGACCAGTCCTTCCCCTTTCTGGACCCTGAAATCCTAGACATAACACAGAAGTTTCAGCACTTTGGATGTACTAGGTGATGTCTGAGGCTTCTTCCAGCTCTAACTTTAAGAACTTGGCACAGAATTCTGTGCAGAGAAGCACTACCATCATCATCAGAAAGCAGGTATAAATAGTCTTTAGTAATACGAAAGATATCTTTGCATGATGCCTAACAGTTTGCAAGAGCATTTTCTTCTCCCGTGGGACATTCGACCTCCACAATCACCCTGTGAGAGAGATATTTAAAAACCCGTTGCCGTAGAGTCGACTCCAACTCATAGCGACCCTACAGGACAAAGTAGAACTGCCCCATAGGGTTTCCAAGGAGGGGGGGGGTGAATTCGAACTGCCGACCTTTTGCCTAGCAGCCGAGCTCTTAACCAGTGCGTTATCCCTTTATTCCAATATAGAACTGAGAAAAGTGAAGTGACTTGTCCAAGGACATGCAGTCAGATAGTCACAATGTGGAGATTCAAAGTCAGGGAAGAACAACACCAAAGCTCATATTCTTTCTGGGAAGCACCACTGTCTTTTACCTCCAAACTAGGTGAGTTAACCAATGTCAGATGAAAAGCATTGATGCAGTATGATGTGCAGTTAAATTTAGAAAGATAGGCTCTAAGACCACTGGGGGGATCTCAGGAGCTAGGTTTGGAGAAGACAGAGAGATTTTACCCATCACTGAAATACATGGTAAGCTGGGAAGAAGCCCAGTCCCATCCCTCCCCCCATAATTATGAAGGTTATGCCTCCTGCCTCTGTCACTTAGGAAGCAGAATATTCTAGTATTTCAGACCCTAAAGAGAGTAAATCCACCTATCCTCTCTTTGCTAGGATGAGGATATTGAGGCCCAGAGGGGGAAACTGATGCTCCTTGATCACCCTGCAAGCCATTATCAACTCTGAGACTCAATTCCAGGTCTAGGAGGTTCTCTTTCCACCACATATCCCTGCTTCCCTCTCTGACTCCTGAACTCTGGAGACTTGTGGACTTCTAAGCCCAAAAGGAGAGCCAGCCAGAGACAGGAGGATGGAGAAGCGAGAAACACACAACTTTTTACAGCGACACAAATGGCTACCCAGCTTCAGATTTGCACCGTCTCCACTTGGCTACGAAATGGCCCAGCACAAGGAGGCCCCGGGTCCCAGATGGGGAAGCCTTACCTCTGCTCAGCAGGGCTGTAGGTCTCCCCTCTCTGGCAGCTGCTCAGGATGACAGGGTCAAAGTTGTCGAAGGAGCGGAGGGCCACCCCCGAGATGGCGACCAGAGGCGAGCTGAAGCTCACACGCACCGCCTGGCTGTGGTAGAAGGGCTTGCTGAGGTCATGGACCACAGGGATAATCAGGGGATTGTTCCTGCAGCTCAAGACATGGAGGCCTGTCAGGAGAGACAGAGGGGCCGAGGGGCCAGGCTCATTACTCAAGGCCAGTCACGCCCTCCCCAACGGGCCCTTCCCGAAGCCCCCAGACCCTTTCATGTTACTGCACAAAAGCACCATTGGGGTGGCCAGTGGGGATTTTGACTTTGATTGAAAGTTTCTTTGTCTGGCTTTTTTTCTTGGTTCCAAATCTCTCCAATCCCCCTGCCTCCCTGCCCCCAAAGCTTTCCCTTCACCTAGTGCCCACCGCCCCTCTCCCTCCCACAAATGGCCACCCCTCAGCCAAGCACGGCTGTCCCTCACCTCCCGCATTGGGGCTTGAGGGTCTGAGTTGCTAGTTTCCAGGCTGTCTGCCTGGTCAGTCATCAACAAGACGGAAATAATTCACAGCAACAGGCCCTTCGCAGGGCAGAAAGTCTGCTTGCATCTGTGAGTCTCTCAGCAACCCTATAACGATGTAAGGACCCCTATGCTCAGTCTACAGAGAAGAGACTGAGAATTACGGGCAGGAAGGGGCTTTCTCAGACAGATGTAGGCTGACAGTACAAAGTGGAAGCAGAATCTAAGCTGGCCTCACTCAAAAGCCCAAAATTCACCCTAGTACGGGCAACAGGTTCCTAGACTCCGAGAAAGAAGGGAGAGAGGAAGGGAGAAAACGCATATCGAGTAGAGGGAGAGGGGAGGACACAAAGTGGTGGGATGGAGTTAGCACAAAGGACACCAACTTTGGTGGTCGGTGGACCTCAGTTCAAATCCTGATTCAGCCACTTACTAATGATATAACTCCCAGAAAGCCCAGAAAACTCAGTTTCTGCACCTAAAAAAAGGAATCATCCTAACCAGGTACTGGCAAATTGGCACTTGTGAAAGCATGAAGCTCAGAGGCCAGCAGGACCTTTGCTGCGCTCTGGTTTCTTAGATCTGTGAAGCCCCCAACAAGGGCACGGGGACGTTGAGGACAGGAGACACAGGCATGGTGAGGAGGGGTGACAGGGAAACACAGAAGCCTCAGGTGTCAAGCAGCAGGATCACAGGGGCTCCTGCGAAACCAGACTTTCCCCCACTCTGCTGTAAAACCTCTCCTTAGAGCCCTGTGCAATGCCAGCACAACTATGAAAACATTTGCTTCTCACTTAGGGAAACTTCCCAGGAATCCAGATAAGTCCAGAGGGATTTTCTTTCTCTTCTTTATTAATATGTTCCCCCTTGCCTTTAAAACTAAATAAATAAATAAACATAAAAACAAAACAGAACAAAAAACTCCTGCTTGCTCCCTTGGCTTCTACCTGACCCTGAAATGACCTCTTGCCGGCTTGCTTCCTGTGGCCTTTGAAATGAGCTCTCGGTGGAATGGTGTGGCCACAGCTCTGAAGCCCAGGCAGGCCACGTTGAGAAAGCTGGGGCCTCAAGGGCAGTGCTGGCCTGCAATTCCAAACACCCGGAATGGCTGACCAGAGCATTTCAGGGCATATTGGCAATGGAAGGGAGAATGGGGATTTCTTCATGCTAGGTCCTGAGGTCACAACATTATCAAATAATATCTCATTTCAATCTCACGCCACCTGCGCAGCGGGCATCCCTGTCCCCATTGCACATATAAGGAAAGCGAAGCTCCAAGTGAGGTATCGGGGAAAACGCTCACGTTCTTATAGTGAGTGAGTGTCGGAGACGGGATTCAAATCTCAGCAGTCAGCCTCAGAGTATAGACACTTTCTTCTGTACCACGGTGCATGTGGACATGCAGATGGATGGTGCAGGTGCTAACTCTGGCCCTTGTCCCTCCACTTGGCCTGTTCTCAGGGCAGCTTCTCAATAAGTAGGAACTGACCTCTCATCTGCCTTCCAACTCCTGGCACTAGGCTTTTCTTATTGCTACTTGCACTCTGAACTTCCCTGGAGGTTGTGCAGGAGACACAGTTGCTGCTTTGGGGGCATTCACAGGCACCTCTGGGTAGAGGGTGAAGAGCAAGGGGTTATGATTCCCAAAACCTGGCCGCTCTGTCCCGACTTGCCATGTGCCCTGAGGTCTCTCAATTCCTCCCTTTGGATCTCATTGTGTTGATCCTTATGATGGCAAAATGGCCCCTGCTTGGTCTCCTTCCCAGGGTCTTTTGGGGATCATATGGAATGCCTGAGGTTAAAGGTGTCTGGCAGAATAAGCTTTGACATGAAGGGGTCTCTGGCCCCCTTATCTGCCAGATCCAGACTTCTCTGGCTACACCACCACATTCCTATCTGAGGACAATCAGAATGCCAAACAGAGAAGCAAGAAAGAGAAAAGGGGAGAAAAGAATTCATTCTAAGCTGATCCTCTCAACCTCCCATGAGACAGACATAGAAGCAGGTACCAGAGAAAGCCAAGCCCAAAACAACATTCCTACCTAGGTCGTGGCTTTGATTTTTGGTATCAAGCAGCTGGATGCTGATAGTCTCCTGCTTTTGGTCCCCATAATATGTCCCATCGGTCACCAGGTGGACAATGACAGCTGCAGCAACCATTGGCTGAGAAAAATATGCCTGAAACGCAGAAGACACAGGAGGCTCACTTGTGTGCCCAGTCACGTGGGGGGCTCTTCAGGGGCCCAACGTGGGAAGAGGGAGGCAATAAGACCTAACAGTTAAGAGCACAGACTCAGAGGTCAGAAATCTTATTCCAGTCTTGGCTCTGCCCCTTCCTAACTGTGTGACATTGAGTAGGTGGATGCCTCTCTGGGCATAAATTCCCTCATCTCCAAATACTGGATAAAAATAGCTCTATCACAGGATCGTTGTAAGGCTATAGTAAGACAGTGGGAGTAAAGTGTCTGCTACAGGGCCTGACACATGCTAAAACCACAGTAAATGGTACTTATTATTATTTATCACTTCTCCATGCTAGTCTCTATATTGGACACCAAGTAAAAGAAGTCATGGCCTTTGCATTTCTGGGCACTGCGGAGTTCAAAGTAGATCAGAGACACACAAATCAAAATTCAAAACAATCCACAATCTTCAGTCAGGAAGATGGATCCAGAGACAGCTATGTAATGCCATGGGATAAGTGCCCATATGACAAGCAGATGATCCAACATGCATAAGACTAGAGGGAGAAACTAATCACTTGTCTCTATAGAGCCACTTGCTGGCGAGTGGATTCTGACTTCTGGCAACCCTAAGTGTGTCAGTGTAGAACTGTGCTCCACAGGGTTCTCAATGACTGTGATCCTTCAGAAGTAGACTGTCAGGGCTTTCTTCCAACGTGCCTCTGGGTGGATTCAAACCTACTAACTTTTTGGTTAGTAGCTGAATATTTAACAGTTTGTGCCACTCATGGACTCCATAGAAATCAGTAAAAACTTCAAGGAGGATAAGACAATTTTAAAAGATCTAGAGCAATGAATAGGAGGTTCCGGGTATACAAAAGGCATCAAAACTTTTTGCCAAATTGAGAGGGAGTGGATACCAAAGATCAGGAAGCATCCTACTGCTAAATTTTTTGTTCCCTGTCCTTACAACTAACACCCTAGGTAGGCCGACAAACTATCTTGAGAAAGGGTCATGGAAGTCAGTGCTTTCTAGGGCCACTGCCAGAGATCCCAAGGCTCTCAGAGCATTGGCTTACCCGGAGCCAGAACGTGGTCTGAGCCAGCTGGGAGTATGGGTAGCTGATGGTGCAAGGGTACCAGGCATACTGGGAAATGCCTTCGCTGAGATCTATCACCTTGGTTCGACATACCTGGAAATAGATAAAGACAAAAAATGTGTTGGAGGATCTCAGAAGTTCAATTAAATTCATTTTGACAAACGCTCACTATCCACCTATTTTGTTCTTGACACCACAAGAGGATACAGGGATAAACCGAAGTACGCATTCTAATGTAGAACAGGTAATCCTGAATGCTGTTAGGAAAGAGTAAATAAAATATTTTGGTGGTAGGGGTGACAGAGAGAAATTCTACAGGGGACAAACCCTGGAGAAGTTGGCATCTGAGTTGGGCCTGGAAGAATAGGGTGAAGATGGGGGAAAAGCATTGCAGGCAGAGGGAACAGAAGCAAAGGCCCAGAGGAAAGCAGAAACCTAGGCTGGTTAGGTTGTGTTAAATTGCCTAGGATTATCAGAGCTTAGGGAATGTGGCAGAAAAGGTGATTTGAAGGGCTGGCTCTCACAGACTCTTGAATGCCAAGCCTACCGGTGTGGGACAAATCTGTAAATTGTGCTCAGGGCTATATTCTCGATAAAGCGGAGGCTATGAAAATGTAAGCATTGGTTTCCCCGTCACCAGAGAAAATCAGTTCCGTCTCTTCATATTTACGTACTTAGATATATATAAACATTTATTCTCAATGGTAGATATACCAACAGGTATTAAAAGAAACAGGACACGTGTACACAAGCAGAATTCTTCAAACTTCAGAGTTTGTTGCATATCCACGTCATTTCATTCATTGGTTCGTTCATTCATTCAAATAATATTTATTGAGTATCTACATTTGCCAAGCACTCTGGGGCTATATGGTGGACAAGGCAAGATGTTAAGGAGCTTACTGTCAGCAGTGTGTGCAGATGTTAATCAAGTAATCACATATGCATATCTAATTGTAAACTGAGAAAAGAGCTGTCATGGAAAAGAACAGGAACGGCTGAGTTGTTTTTCAGATTGGTCAGAACAGTGGCATAAGTTTGGCTCAAATTAGTGCTTTCCCTCTGATCCCTAACGTGGCTCCTCTCTCAAAACTTTCCTGTAAATTTGGGTCAAATCTCTGGATCTCAGTCTACTCATCTGAAGAGTGAGACTGACCTGGAGAGCTCTAAGGACCTTTCAAACAAGAGTGGGGGTGATGGGGGAGGCAATAATCTAATCCCACCCAAACTAAACAAAACATACACGTCCAGACTAAAATCTACAGGATTAGGTTGTATCTTGAGTCAATCTCTTCTGAGATATAAAAGAGAGAATCAAGCACAGAGGAAATAGACCTCATGCCACCAAGAATGAAGAACCAGGAGGGGAGTGTGTCCCTTGGACCGGAGGTTCCTGTGCCAAGAAGCTTCTAGACCGGGGAAAGATTGATGACAAGGATCTTCCCCCAGAGCCAACAGAGAGAAAGTCTTCCCCTGGAGCTGGCACCCTGAACTTGAACTTCTAGCCTCCTGAACTGTGAGAGAAGAAATTTCTCATTGTTAAAGCCATCCACCTGTGGTATTTCTGTTATAGCAGCACTAAATAACTAAGACAACATGGCTCAGAAAAACAAAAAGAAAAAGAAAGCAAGTAAAGAAAAGTTCACTGGACACAGGATGCATATAGAACTATTAGGAAAACCCCACTTTTAGATTTTTGGGTTCATCTAAATAGTCTCATCATTACTACTAATATCTTTAATAAGAAATACATGCTATAAAAATGAACTAAAAAAAACACATCCACATAAAAAAGAAAGAGAGAGAGAAAGGAAGGAAAGAAGAAGGAGGGAAGGAAGAAAGGAAGATAGAGTGATTATACAGTATACAAGAATCAAGAATGCCCACTCCAGTGATATCTATGGTAGCAAAAGATGGGGATTGTCCACATGTTCATATGTTGGGGAGAAATGCATAGAATATGAAATATTCAAATGATAGAATTCTATAGAGTAAATTAAGGGGAATGAACTAGAGTCACATCCAGGGAATATACTAAAAATATTTAACAATTGGTTCAGTATGGGCCCTGGCCAATCAAAATGGAAGCCCTGCTGGTGAATTTATAGAGATCAGCATAGAAAAATCTCAAAAACATAACATTGAGTGGGGGAAAAAACAAGTTGCAAATAGACAAGTTGAGTATGATGCTATTTATAAAAATCATACAAAGCAAAACTATACATTGCACAGGGATTTGAATGTAAAAGAATTAAAAATGGAGTGGAAAAGTAAATACATTAGGGGTAGCGGTTGTCTCTGGGTGAAAGGAAGGGGAATGGTATGCAGGAGTAGGGAGAAGACGGGATTTCAGCCTCACCTGCAGTGCGTTATTTGTCTTACAAAAATAGACTTGGGGCAAATACGACAATTTGTTTACATTATTCCATGTAATTTTATGAAATAAAAAAACAAAGGAACAAAAAACTCCAAAGCATTGGCTTGGAAAGCCATTAAAAATAGACCTGAAACTATCAGCACCAAATCTCCTAAAGATGTGCTCCTAAATGGTGGGCTCCAATGAACTGATCTAGACCTGAACCTTCTGTGACAGCCAACTCCTCTTGCCCTTGGCATCACCAAGGGCTCCTTTTAACATGCCGAGTGTCTCATCTATAAATTTTCAGTGATTCAAATATCCCACTCTCCATCACTTCCTTGGATGATTCTGGCTTCTAGGAGCTATTGGAAAGCATAAAGTCTCAGTCTTCTTTACAATAGTAAGGCCCTAACAAAAGTCAAGCTAAAACACACAGCTGCATTATGATCTAGAACTTTCAACACCAATGCTTTATTTAAAATAAACTTTTTTTTTAAATTTTGGAGTAATTTTATATTTACAGAAAAGTTGCAAAGATAATACACAGAGTTCCTGTATGCCCTTCACCCAGTTTCCGCTAATGTTCACATCTTCATCAATTCATTTTTGAAACCTCAAATAGAGGAAGATTAGTTGCTTAGCCAGCTTTGGAGAATCACAAGTTGCCACCCAGTAAGTTCTGCAATGGTGAATGGCTTTGGATTAAGGAGACCTGGTTCTGGGCCAAGTTCATTGAAAACTTGATGTGTAATCATGGACTAGTTAGCTCACCTCTTTGGATCTTAGTTTATCTTTAACATTTGAATGTTGGAGGAGATCATAGGTTTTCAAAATGTCCTCTATGGATTCCTAAGGTTTCTCAGAGGTGTCAGCCTGGTCACCAGGATGTTGAAAAGGTCTGCTTAGTTTCCTCTCTACTCTTTCAACCTGAGCCTCCACTCATCTGTTTTTTATCTTGAATTGCTTTGTAATATTTTATCTAAAAAAAGAGCTTTACTGCTTTCAAGTATGGTGCAAATGGTTAAGTGCTCAGCTACTACCAAAAGGTTGGTGGTTTGAATCCACCCAGAGGCACCTAGGAAGAGAGGCCTGGTGATCTACTTCCAAAAGAAAACCCTATGGAGCACAGTTCTATTCTTAAACACTTGGGGTCACCATGAGTCATGATGACTGATTCAATGGCAACTAGTGGTCACTTCTTTCAAAACATTGAAAAATATAGAAACTTGATTATTGCCAAAGTTCCCCTCACTCCAGCCCTAGGAAACAGTGGGTCCCAGGAATAAGGTATTAGTTCCCTCAATATCAAAGGTAACTTCTTAAGGAGAATAAGGTGCCAAGAATCAACCATCCCATTGGCCAGGAGTTAGGTAATGGTTGCAGTTATTCAACTCTCTAGCAGCCTCACACAGAGGCGACTACAGGTAAAATATAAAATAAAATAAGAAACCAAACCCACTGCCATCGAGTCGATTCCGACTCATAGTGACCCTGCAGGGCAGAGCAGAACTGCCCTATAGGGTTTCCAAGGCTGTAAATGCTTATGGAAGCAAACTGCCACATCCTTCTCCCGAGGAGCAGCTGGTAAGTTCAAGCCGCCAACCTTTCAGTTAGTAGCTAAGCACTTAACCACTGCGCCACCAGGGCTCCCACTTTAATGGGCTGGAAGGCGTTTTCAAGTTTATTTATTTTTCTCAAAAACAACTGGGAGGGAGCTCAGGCAGACCTGCCAGTGGATTGTGTTACATTTTACAACAGTGCAAGACTTTGCATAAACTATCTATGGCATTTGAAATCCAGGCCAGCAATTCGACATGTATCATTTCGGAATTCTTTCCCCTTGTGTTCTTAGCTGCCTGTCCCTCAGCAGAGTGTAGTGGAACACATATCTGGAGTGGGGGGCTTATCTCCGCATCTGAAGCATTTATGGTCAGAGAAGTCTCCAACGCGAACAAAGCCCTCTTATTGCTTAAATACAATTTCCTCTTATCTCTTCAGCTCTATCAGCACGAGACAGGGCTCTAGAGGAACACACTCCTTATTTTATTCTTCTGTTTTCCTATTTAGTTTTGTGTTTGTTTCAGGCCGGCTGCAATCCTGACCAGGGACGGTCAAAGTAGATCAGAGAGGAACAAACAAATCCAGCTGAACCTTTGCCCAAAGCCCCATTTGATCTTAAAACCATCTATGTTCCAGGGAGGTGGGGAGAGGCTGAAGGGGAAAGGCGGAGAAACACTCACAAGCCTCCTGTTTTTATAGACATTGCATGCACTTGCTCATTCAGCACCATTTATTGAGAGTATATGGCATTCCAGGCTCCGAAGCCCTGAGAAGAAAAGGCCACTACGTTGGCCACTAAGGATAGACCCCCAAGGAGACTGATTCATGGGGATGCTTTATTTTCATCTACCCCCCCCCTTTTTTTTTTTTTTTGCACCCTCCAAAAAAGAAAATCCAACTCCACAAAGCATTACTGAGAAATATAGATTTTAATGAAATATTTTTTGGAAGACAAGAGAGTGACATTACATATCCTATGAGGACTCTGAAGGTCTCCCCCACACCACCCCAAGTTCCTCTTCATTCATCATCTCTCTTCCTTCACTTCAGTATCACTGGCTCCAGCCCATCTGACCTTCCTCATCTTGCACAATCTCTTCCTCCTTCCCAATCTGCATCTTTCTCAAGTCTCATGCAGAGCCATTCTGTTCTCCCTCATATTCTCCACCCTTGC